AATTCCAGACATGTAAAGTGTTCCTTTTTAAAATGACTTTTGAAAATGCGAACTTGTATGCCTACCATTTTTATTGTATACCTCTTAATTCAATCTTTTATTTGAAGGTTACCGCCTTTATATAACAAGTTTACATATATATCGTAACAACTGACCTAACATCTAAAACGACAACAAATTTACAAGTTCGTATCTTCCATTGCATGCAATACATATGCATGTTTGCACACTTATAGATCTAAAATATACAAACTCGAATACGGAAAATAGATAAACGTGTTACCAGTTGTAGAACTACAAGAGTACGTTAACACAGTAACATGTTTAAAATGACAAAAGTAGATTCACAAAGTTAAACGATTTTAAGTCAAGCATAACGCCCTGCCCCTCTCGGAGTATTTACGAACTTCTATTGCGGACAGGTATAAAACGGCGCCTCTCCCATATTTTTAAATAAAACTGAAGGACAAAATACGGCATTTTTCATAACATATATATGTTACATTTGTTACAAAAGTTTTGTCACTAGCAACATCACTTGAAAATTGCTGATTTTACCATTTATGATGAAGATAACTTATGCATTACCTTATTTTTAACATCGTGTTCTTATCAGTTACAAATTATTTATCATTTTAGTGATTAGCCTGTCCGTGCTCTGCCTAGTGCCCTGTCCTGTGTTTTGTTTTGGGTCCGCCTTGGCTTCTTGCCACTTGTTCTTGTTGCTGGATCATGTGGGGTTGCGTTCATTGAGCGCCGCCTTTCCTTGTTGATCTTGTTTATCATATATTCCTGAGAAACATCGGCGATTTGGAAATTTTTAGGGGAAACAATGACCAACTTCAAGGGAGTAATTTTATGATAATGTAAAAAACCATCCAATATTCTTATTGGTATCATTGAAAAATGCATTGGCACAAATTTCATTTTCAACAAAAACTATGCAAGTATATTTTAAAGCGGCCACCGATATTTCCTTTCCGAAATCAAGAAAATACTTATCCGTAGCACATATGTACAATCTTTAATAAGGTATTTTCAGTATGAATAAAAACTATTTGCACTTGTTCATTATCCCTCATGTACAGACTCAATCAAACCGAGTCTGCAATTCTTATGTAATTTTGTAGTGATTAATGCTTCCGAGAGATCACTTTGTTTCCAGATTTTTATACTTCACAACAGCAGGTTTCAAGTGCCGTGAGGCAGCTGTAAAAAGTTGCCCCGTACTTCACTTCAGTGGTGTTATATTTTTCTGGTCTTTCGGGATCATTGATGCCAGCGCTATTAAGTGTTGAGAATTGAGTACCGTTCAAGCCGGTGCTAGGGGGCGTGAGGCATGTTGCACTTGTTCATTATCCCTCATGTGCAGACTCAATCAAACCGAATCTGCAAATCTTATGTAATTTTGTTGTGATTAATGCTTCCGAGGGATCACCTTGTTTCCAGATTTTTAATATACTTGTTCAAAACTTATGGTCTTAACTTCATTCAATATTTATTTTCCTTTTTGAATAAAGTATCTACAGGAACCGACGTTATTTTTTTCCGAATATATGAGTGTGGATTTAAGAGAAAAAAAAACAACGATAAGTTAGAAACAAAATTTTTAATATTTCTACGTAATTAATTTTCATTTTTAAGGCATCACTAGAAAGTTCATTAAGGATTCTTAAGCACTATTAAGTGTTGAGAATTGAGTACCGCTCAATCCGGTGCTAGGGTGCGTGAGGGATGTTGCACTTATTCATTATCTCTCATGTACAGACTCAATCAAACCGAGTCTGCAATTCTTATGTAATTTTGTTGTGATTAATGCTTCCGAGGGATCACTTTGTTTCCAGAATTTTTTACTTGAGTCTAAAATTATCAACGCCCCCTTTCCTTGATGATCTTGTGTATCATATTCTAAAATTATCAAAATTACCAAGAAATAAAAAAAGTAAGAAGGGGGGCCATGTTTCTCTTACTTAATTTCAGAGTGTGTTTTGTTTTTTTACTTGGGGACCATTTGCCGATTTTCATGGTATGGCACTTACGTGTCACATTGAAGGTTCTATGATAATCACCATATTAACACATCTGCGGATGTTTCAAAATTCAAAATTGTACCAGTTCATGTTGAATTTTGCTTAAGCCGGTGCTAGGGGGCGTGGACGATAACTTGCTCTTTCCATTACCGTCCATGAGCAGGCTCAATCAAACCGGCCTGCAACATTCTCAATTTTGTTGTTTTGAGCGTTCTTTAGGGATTCTTATTTTCTCTATTTTACAGAAAGTAACATGATAAACTTTTTAACGAAAAGTTAATTCATTTTGATTTAATTCCTTTTTATTTTGAGGCATCATATAATTATATATCATAAATCGTATTAAGAACACTTTTATTTCAATCCAAAATTATCAAAATATATTACGAAATAAAAAAAAAGTTTGGAGGGAACGTCGTGTTTTTCTTACCAATTTTCAGAGTAAAAAAAGCCCAAAAAAATCAATACATCTATTTAATTCATTTTTATTTCCGAGGCACTCATAGAAAGCTTATGGAGTAATCTTCCATTTGATACAAATAATATTGGACTTTTTATAGAAATAAAAAAAAGTTAGAATGGACGCCGTGTTTTCCTTCACTTTATTGAGAAATAGGAGAGAGGCGACGGGTATTATACCTGTCCGTACATTTCCGTGATAGAAGATCGTAAATACTCAGAGAGGGGCGGGGCGTCATGCATGACTTAAAATCGTTTAACTTTGTGAATCTACTTTTGTCATTTTAAACATGTAACTGTGTAAATGTACTGTTGTAGTTCTACGACTGGAAACACGTTTTATTAAATTATATTTTCTGCATTCGAGTTTTACATTTCATTTGTGTTTTTCAGGTACATATATATATCTACAAGTGTGTAAACATGCTTATGTATTATATGCAATGTTAGATACGAACTTGTAAATGTGTGTTAGGTCAGTTGTTAAGATTTACATGTAAACTTGTTATTTAAAAGCGGGTGCCTTCAATTAAAAGATTGGATTAAGAGGCATATCATTTGCTGTGCACGAATGCAATCAAAAATGCTAGACATACATGTTCGCATTTTCAAAAGTAGTTTTCAAAAGGAACACATTACATGTCTGGAATTTTGGCAAAGATCGCCCTCCATATACTTCTAATATCCACATCTACAGCTTTTGACAAGGGAAATAACTCAGTTAAAACATGTCAAATATAGGCGCGTGTTTTACCTCCCCTATAAGAAAAATATTCAGCATTTTTATTAGATTAATTTTCAGTTATAGAGATTAATTTTCAGTGCTTATTATTCAGTTTTGAGAAATAATGTGCACACTCATTTCCGGAATAAAGCAAATTGGTGTGGAAACGACAGGTAATCGGAGATTGACAAAAAATTCAACAACAGTTTTCAAAGTATCCAGCATATATGGAGCTGATAATACTTAGTTGCTAAAAGTTTTAATAGTGTCAATCATTACATTGATTAAATGTAGACATAAAGATTTAAAGGAAAAGAAATAGGTAAATTTCCTCAAGCAACATGCACCTAGATTCCTTATATTTTGATAGAAAATTTCATAAAACGTTCTTATAAGTTAAAATGTCACAGTGAGTATGACAAAAGTTACTGGCTGAATTTGTGTAATGGATCTGCCCAGCTTTGAATTTGGAACAGTCCATTCAAAGTTTAAGGGATTCCAGTTTCGAAATACCAAAATCATTTGTGGTTAAAATTTTCATACAAGGCTCACATACTCTGTCCTTTTTATCATAAATCAGATTTGGTTTCAGAAATATCTTAAATAACAATACATGATCTATTATTGTTGATTTGTTTTTGCAGTAAGGGAGAGAACTCTTGTAAAACTGTTAAATTTCTTAATTTTCACGAGGGAAACAACACTTCCAGTCTTACCTGATACTTTCCAAAAGGAGATAAATATTTAAATGTAGTCAATAACTAATATAAAATGGTTTAACTTCAGATAAGACTGTTTAATTGTTATTTAACAGATATATTGATCTCATCATTTGAACTGGAACACTCTAACTATTTCTGATACAAAAAGTGTTTCATTTGAAATCAGGTTGTTGAATTACTGTATCATATGATTTGTGTAATAGTGAAATCATGACATATTTGCCTTGCCTGAGGATTGAGCCTGTGTCTCCTGGATAACATATCCAGTACTAAATCTATTTATAGAATTTATTTTAAAATAAAGATGAAATCAAAAAGAAAAACAAAATGTATAGATGTATAAATAATGATATTTTTAATATCAACAGACAATAATTAATAATTCATATTTATTATACAAAATATTATATGAGCCGCGCCATGACAAAACCAACATAATGGGTTTGTGACCAGCATGGATCCAGACCAGCCTGCGCATCCGCGCAGTCTTTTCAGGATCCATGCTGTTCTCTTACAATCCCTATAACAAGTAGGGAAACTGATAGGGAACAGCATGGATCCTGATCAGACTGCGTGGATGTGCAGGCTGGTCTGGATCCATGCTGGTCGCAAGCGCACTATGTTGGTTTTGTCATGGCGCGGCTCATATAGAAAGAGAGACTCATATATAACAGTACTATATAATATAGATATTTTGTATTAGACACAAATTAAAATCTAGGATATTTATAAAATAAGAAACTTTATATTCAAAAATGTTATCGCCATATTTTACAAGCTGAAATATTTCTTAAACATGTTTCATAAAAATTTTGGACCTTTCAAATAACCATTAAAGGCCCATCAAGCCACGGAAATTTTTTAAGTCAAAATACATCTTTGTTCACATTTTGCTACTTTAAAGTAAAACATGTAATTGTATATTCTGTGCTACTTTCTTTAGTTGTTTAACATCTAATATGCTCTAAATCCATTATTAAATGATTATCAAACACATGCTTATTGAATCTAAAGAATGAAAAATTTATTTACTTTGGAAGCATGTGCCTTTAAACAGAAACAAACCAATCTACATCAATTTATTAAGATAACTAGGAGATTTCACAATATAAAACATACTACAAGAATACAAAGTCCTTGAAAAAAATAAATACAAAATAATTTCATAAAATTTATCCTTTTAAAAGTAAAAGAATATATATAATTTGAACAAAATAAAACAAAGAAACAACAATTTATAAAAGTTAAGCATTAATACTAAAGAAAATTGTTTTCTAACAAAAAAAACAAACAAGACTTGTCGATAGCCCAGCTTGCTAGACTCTTCTCAGTGCTTGACAGAAAAAGTCTGAATAATGTAAATTTTGCTAAGTTCAAAAGGGGCCATAATTCTGTCAAAATTTATGTTAGAGTTATGGGCCTTTGGTAGTTTAGGAAATAACAAAACTTCAACATCTTGACTAGAATAAACAATTGACTATTTGTCATCTTTGTGCAATAACAGGTTAACTCTTTGATATTATAGAATTAACACGTCTATCAGGGTAATAGTGGCTCCGCCTTGGGTGTTACTGGCTCCACCTTGAGTTTTCACTTCTAAGGTTGCTAATATGCACTATTACCCTGAGAGATATTGGCCATTTTTTTATTAAACTGAACGTGAGCCAGGGGAGTGAACTAGAACATTATGTTTTTTTTTTAATTAAGTACATGTATATATATAGATAACTTGCCCCTGGAAAATATTGCAAAACATCATTGACTGGGTGCCTTTAATGTTTCTGATATCACAATATCACATCAATAGAACAGGATTTATAACAAATGGTTCTATCCCTATATGGTAACTGATATTAACCCTGAACATGCTGAATATTCTAAATGGAATTGTCCCATTTCCATTTTTGGGACTGTCCATTATCAATTTTAGGGATATCAATTTGAATATTTAAAGTTTGTAAGCCAACAGTATAGAGCCTGGTCAGACTGCACAGTAGTGCAGGCTGGCCTGGCTCTTTACTGGTGGCAAGGTCTTAACACATTCAGTTCCAGCACTTTAAGGGTTAAGATGTTTTATAATTATTTAAAGAAATACCATGTATCTTAGGAGCAAAATCTTATAAACAAATATCCTTTTTATTAGCTAACATTAAAACAGTGTTACCCTGAAGTTTCAATTTCATCTTCTGTCAGCTGTTAAGTAACAAAACCAAACATAATTTATACGCTGTTTCCGTTGCTTAAAAAAATGCTTAAAAAAAACCTATGAAAAATCTATAACTCTCTAATTTTTTATATCCACAAATACTATGACTGAAAGACATTTGCAGAGTTACTGTAGCAAAAACAGCTTTTGAAATAAATTTTCCCAAACGAAATTAACAGATTTAAAACTTACTACACATAAAACAAATCGAATGCTTCATACAATAAATAAAAAATATTGAACATAAAAAATCACAACAAAAGTTTAAAATTTTAACCTCAACAAAGACCTGTGGTTTTATTTTGGCTTGATTGGCAAAAAGTAACTGTGTTTCTTTGTTTTGTATGGGTTTTACATCTCACCAACACAGTATAAGTCATAATTATGGTGACTTTTCATCTTCACTGGTGGAGGAAGATTGTAGGTGCTCTTCCGTGCATTATTTCAGACACTAACAAGCTCTTGAGTTGGAGCTAACTGGATAGCTTCCTCACATGAAAGAGTCCAAAGTCCCTGTTGGGATTCAAACACACAGAGGTCAACGAACCTGAACAAAATCTATTATCTACTGGCTTGTCTTTAGAAACACAAAAGAAAAAACCAGTCTGTACTTTTTATCACATAACTGGTACACTTTTATTTAACATTTGACAAAATTAAAATCGAAAAACTAGTCTTTAAATAAAATTTATATCCATATTGTAAATAAATAGATCACAATGAACTAGTTGGCCTGTTCCGGACGTCTGTTTTCCACTTCGACCACTACTGTCTGCGCTAAAATATCATATGCTGCACGGTTGTACCGGAAAAAGAACACCGTCAGACAGGCGGGAAAGAAAAACGCCATACTGAAGTTTTTTATTATTGATCTGATTAGTGCACTGAAATAAAAGAAATCACAAGTATTTAAATCTTAGATGTATAAGAATTTCCCCTTTATTAGAACATATATACATGTATATATAAAAGATTGTTTTTGATTAAGAATTATCATAAGTTTTAGCCATCCCTTATAGACCCATTAAGCCTAAAAAATTCTAGTCTTTATTTCTCAAACATTGTTTTTTAATTTTGGGATCCTATTACAACTTTCGAAAGTAATAATTTATAGCTGAGCCATCTTAAGCTTTTTTTTACGTTTTTGGCATTTCATACTAATATAGTAATCGTGAATACCATTTTGTTTACATTTTTTTACCCCTATGACATACATGTGAACTTTTTTGATGATCAAGTGGGAGATTTTTCTTCAAAAAGAGGGAGATTTTAGATATTGCAATAAACAAAGAAGGAAGTTCTGACATTAATAAAATAGGTAGATTTTTTTAATTTGTGAAAATACCCCATGTACATGTATGCTATGAATTTCAGAAACATAAATTTACATTCACTGCTATTCTCTTAAGTGATTAGCATTTAATATGTTTTAAATCTATCATTTCAACATGATAATACACATGTTTGTCCTTTCTACAGAAAGGAAAATATCATTATTTTAGAGGTTTAATGTGGCTTTACAGGAATATTTTAGTTTCTTAAACTAGATGGATTTCTTTCTGAAAGTCATCCAAGTCTTCTTCTAACAAATACTTTAAACAAAGTGTCAGGTATCTAAATATGTATTTCACATGTGACTCACATTTTTGTAGAGCAAACAGTCAGAATATTGAACTTATATATATATTAAATCAAACTTACTTGAAAAACCCAGGATCTGATGCACCAACCACTAAAATATGTCCATTTCTTATGTTTGTAATTTCAGAAAACGAAACAACTCTTAACTGCATGATTTTCTTTCCAGGGGTAGCTCCTCCTATTGCCCCTGCAAACCCTTGTCTTAAACACATTGTCTGAAAAGTAAGAGTAACTACAACGTAAATATTCATGAAACTAAAACAAAGAAATATGCAGAGCTGTCACTGATTCAGAGCAAAGTACACAATGTATATTGACGATCAGCAGATTTCAATACAAATATCAACGATACAACAATATAATATTAAAAATATATTGATAATTACTTCTAATTTCTTGTATATAATTTATTTTCATACCTGTTTAAATGATTTTAGTAAAATACATGTACATATGAATATGTTGCGCCTATTTATAAATGACCTTCGCATGATTTTTTTCGGACCATTTTTTGTCATCACTGACATAAAATGTGTCCATTAAGTAACAATAACTTAGTGTTAGACATACATGTAGCCACCGTCTATTTTTTATGTTTTGGGTGAATTTTCACAATTAATAGACATTTAAATGATTAATATTCATTATCGATTTCTTCAAATGTGTATCAATTACTGATCAGCAGAAGAATATCAATAATACATCGATATTGTCTCTATCGATGACAGCTCTAGAAATATGTGACCATAAAACTAACTTCTGGGTGACTACATTTCATTTCCTGGATCTAAAAGTAAAACCTATTTCATTAACAACAACTTTTGCTTTAACTACCTTGTACATATTGATAATATATAACATAAATATTTCTTCATTACAAATACAGTGCAGGTATAAAATACATGTGAGCCGTGTCATGACAAAACCAACATAATGGGTTTGCGACCAGCATGGATCCAGACCAGCCTGCAGTCTGATCAGGATCCATGCTGTTCACTTACAAACCCTATTACAAGTAGAGAAACTGATAGCGAACAGCATGGATCCTGATCAGACTGCGCGGATGCGCAGGCTGGTCATGATCCATGCTGGTCGCAAAAGCAGTTATGTTGGTTTTGTCGTGACGCGGCTCATGTATACACTTTTTATACAATATATAATTGAATTGGGAGACATAGACAGCAATAGATGAAAATCTGTTACTGTTTTTTATTTATTTTATGCATAAAATTAATTTAAATAGTTATGAATAAAATAATATCTTCTCTTTCTAAACATTCATTGAAAATGTTTTTTAATTTCCATGGTTTCAGATTTGCACTGTACATGAATTTTTTCAAGGGCTGAAACTCATGGTATACACTGACCTGTAGACTAAGAATAAATTGCATCAGCCTAAGAGAAATGAACATTACAAAAATAGTATATAATATTTATAACCAAGTTATGCAAGAACAGTACCAATCAATATTTATAATCTCTGCCAAAAAATTGTATCAATTTCTCAAAATACATTCAGCTAAGCACCATTAAAATTAAACAACTAAGTTATTCAAGACACAAAATAATGTATCGCCAATGTATCACCATTAATCCTTCAGTTTTCAAAGCTGCATGCCTCCAGATGAGCCAAAATGTTTCAAGAAAATCAATATTGAGAAAATGCACTAAAAAACCTTTAAGAAAGGTAAAAACATTCAAGATCTAAGTTATATTTTACATGTTATGTGCGGTTAAACACTGATAATGATTTTGCAGTGTTTTATCACTATATTATTACTGTGTAAGGGCCGTTTTTTATATGTTCACCACTTTTTGGTAATTTTTGTGCATAATTGTAAGTGCCGATTGCAATATGTAAATTACTTTGTTTGTTCACCTCATATTATTTTACTTTTAACTACATTTCCAAAATTTTTAAGAAAATTAACATGAATCTGGAGGCGTACTGCTTTAATAATAAAATCAATAAAACATATATCTCTCACTTACCTCCACAAGAGTTATACACAGTCTGTTCACAACTTCTAGAGCTATCAATTCCGACGTTAAGCTAAACACTCTATCATAATCAAGTTCACCTATGTCGGATAGGAACGGGAACTGGGCATCAATATCAAGAATGTCTTCATTCCTAAATATAACAACAAGAAAGTAGTCACTATTCTGATTCCTTTATAAAATAATTATGTAAAACTTCTATGCCATTCCTTAATAAGAATTCAAGTATTATTATTATTATAGATATTATTGTACTATTTTGACTTCATGTACATTAAGATTCTAACAAATAAGAGTATTATAGAATTTTTTATATTACATAGAGTATTGGTACTGATAATAATGAGGCATATACATGTATTCATTTAATATACATGTATTGCCAGGGTGCCCGTTTGATCTTGACCCTTCAAATTTCCAAAAGGCCTGATTTGACCCTCAGGATTTATGCTGGAGGGTCAAATTTTGTTAACATCATGGGGATTTGGCCTTATAGTCGGTAAAACTTAGTCAAAATGACCCTCAGGATTTCATGGCTAGTGAACACCCTGATTGCTATATAATGCTTCAAATATAAAACAAGATTTTCCTTCTCTGATATCTGTGTATTCTTGGCAGCCAAATTTCAGTACTTTGATACTGAAACACAACTAATTAATCATTAATTATAGTCAACTAAGGTAGTCTAACTGTAATGCTTTCCCTCAAAACAATTCTAACATCGGCCAATATCGTAGCAAATCGATTATTTCCGGGACGTTATTTTTTCAAAATAGTGGACATTAAATTATTTACAATCACTCACCCTGTATCGCTATGTACTAAATTCCGGTTAAACAGTTAAAAATTATTCAATACTGAAGATTTGTACAAAAAGTATAATATGCATAATAATAATAATAATAATAATAATAATATATGCTTGTAAAGTGTACTAAAATTAGTCCAGTATCTTACATATAGCCCATCTGTCTAAGAACAGCCACTGTTACAAGTATCTTGGTGTAAAAAAGAAGAATAAAATCTAGAAATTCAGCTACTACCCTTCTCCATAACATTGGGACCTTATAATGGACACCTACAATTATAAAAAAAATATTCATAATAAATGAATACAAAATGATAATAAAAGATCACTATTGTGGTTCTTTTTCCCCTATAATTGTTACTGTCTAAAATATATAAATTTAATTTAGAGCTGTTAAAATGATATAAAACATTAATTGAATAATTTTCAATTTTCAAAAAAAAACAACAATGTAGTAACTATTTGGTCAGTATAACTACTATTTAGTCTTGCAGCATTTACTGCAACAATAACACAGTATTAGCTGAAAATATTTTTCTATCGTTATTTACATGTACATCACAGACTTCCCGAAAGTTGAAAAAAACGGTCAGACATTCGGTCTGACAAACCATGAAAATCTGTCGGACCGAAACGAAATCTGTCGGACCAAATAAAATTGATCAAAATCAAAGAATGACTTGTGTTTGTATTTCTAAGACACTTTTTGTTTTTATTTTTTTCGCCGTAAAAATCGGCACATTCCTTACAGCGCATTTTCATCTCCTCCCTATCATACACCAACGATTCACTGTCTTGCTTCTATTTTTCATTAAATTTTGTCTCAGGTCTATTCTTTTTATCCTTTTACTGCTGTTTTGCCTGTTCCTCTGACGTAGATTTTTTATTTTTCCGAGGTTTGGCACCTTTAGCGACGCCATTTTGTATACATGCGGCTTGGATAAAAGCCGGACAGTCGGACCGATCCGGAATAAAAACTCGTCGGACCTGATCAAAATTTATCGGACATGTCCGTCGGACCGACGTATTTCGGGAAGTCTGACATCATCTAGCATTATTTTGAGCTTTGATTTAGTTGAATAATTGAAAATACACAGCTGAATTTGTACACCTGAACTACAAGATGGATATATTTATACCCCCACAGCAAAAACTTTGTCTCTTGCCGACCAGTTAGCTCAATATGTAGAGCGTTGGACTGTTTATCGGGCCATCCCGGTTCGATTCACGGACGACGCATGTCACTTTCATTGTATCCTTTCTACAGTCATCAGAACTGAGCCTCTGCTCTTGCATGTACAGGAGCAATCAGTTCCTTGCAAAAGTGAAGGGAACTAGTACTGGTAAACTGCTTGACAGCCTGCCTCGGAATGATGCGGTGGCTGAACTGTGCTATGGACTATGGTAAATCCAATGTGGCGTACTGCCGTGATCTACTATCATCTAGAGTGAAAACTACAAACACCACCACCAACAAACTTTGACTCTGCATGGTGGTGACAGAGATAAAAAAGTGACTTATTTCTACTGTGGTCAAGAGGCACAGGTTAAAACTGATTGGTGCATTACAATCATTTTTAAAGCAAATGTAACTAAAACAGTAAAAGGCTCACTACCTGGGCCATGGTGTTCTGGAACTGGAGTCTGTGGAATACCATTTGGTAAATGACCGTTTCCTAACTGAACCTGGGGACCTCTTGCATTATTTGCTGCTGTCGCATTTTGCGCTACTGAAGAAATCATCTGAGACTGAAATGTACTAAAGGCAGCCAGCATCCTGTACTGCCATAACCAGCAGTGCAAAACTTGTGCATATTCTCTAGCATTTTTGTATTGTAAATCACGATTTGGAATGTTTTGGCGGTAATTGTTTGGTGGAAATTGTGTATAAAATGGTGAGCTTTGACTGTCATAAGTTGGAGGGACACTTTCAGTTTTCTGTTCGATGTTTTCGTCTTTTTCTGTTGGATTTTTATCCACTTCCTTTTCTTGTTCAGCCATTATTGCGGTTTATCATACAAATAATAATTCGTGAGAATTACAAAAAAATAGACTGAAGACTACTATATATTGCTTTTAGTAAAACTAAAGTTGTTACTGAAAAAGTATGATCACTGTATTATTTCTTCAATTCCAAGCAAATGATAACTTTGTATCTTGACATTTGTAGTAGGCCTAAGTAGTAAAATTGATAAGAAATATGTCGGTGTCACTTCATTCTATATTCAAAATAAACATGCCGGTGTCACATTATTCTATATTTAGCAACAGAAGCAGTCGTCCAAAACGAAACTTGTCAAACGAATCACGTGACTTAAATACACAAAACTTCCTGATTTCTAAAACAGGTAGCAAATATTTTACTAAACATGCTCCTGAAATAAGTTACACTGGATTAATCCTTTCAAAATGGAGATAGATGACAGTGAAAGTACCCTACGCCTTCAAAAATGTTTACAAACATTTATTTTTCATGTAGATGATCTAATACATGAGGATGACCCGTCAGGGGACGGGTTTACCAGGGAGTTTAAGGTAAGGGATCTTCTCAATATAATTATTTTATTGTAATAGGCCTATATATACGTACCCTTTCCCGTTCTGTTTCTCAGAATATATTTTAAATAATAAGAATGACTTCTAAGTTGGTTGATTTGAACGGCTTGCACCCCTCCCCTCAAAAAAAATTGCTCTTGATTGTAAGAGGTGCCTTTTGAACTATATATTTTAGTACAGTACAACACATATTTCCAAGTGATCATGAGCATTTGCAGTGTGGACAAGTTTTATTTTCATTTTCTTTGATAAAATGTTCATGCTTCAGACTATAAGAGAAACTATAGGAAGCTACATGTACGCCACTGCAAATTAGTTGTAACATTTTGTGATAGATCTATATACATATAAAGAATCCAATCTGATAGAAATAATTAAATAACATGGTAATGAAATATATCAATTAACCTATTGCATGCCTGGGAAAAAAATGTCTGCACTTTTAATATAAAATCTTAAGAGTTTGTGAAATTTTTCTTATATTCTGAAAAAAAGTCTGACCATTAACACCTGGGAGGGAGGTTATAAAGAAATTCTCAAAGCTCAAACTCAGATTTCACTTATTTGATTGGTCAGAAACTGTCACAGAATGTACACTGACCAATGCAAATCTGGTCAGAAACTGTCACAGAATGTACACTGACCAATGAAAATCTGGTCAGAAACTGTCACAGAATGTACACTGACCAATGAAAATCTGGTCAGAAACTGTCACAGAATGTACACTGACCAATGAAAATCCTGAGATTTGAGACACTAACTCAAAAAGAGTTTTATAACCTTGAGGCCTGGTTTCAGTTTCTGGTCTCCCTCCCCCTCCATCCCAATTAAGACAGGCAAACATCAAAATCCCCGCTAAATGCTTGCAATATGAGTTTGACATTATTAGTCCTTTTTACTATGGCATATAGTGCCAAATCAAAACCACTGCATTGACCTAATCCTTCAGCCATGACATTGCTTTGAAATGTTTACCATTCTTGGTATTTAAGGAACTGATAATTGCTCTTGGAGTCTTGATTTCAACATCTCAACGAAAGTTCTACACTATTTAAAGCACATATAATGTCTATAAACTTTTGGACTTAATGATGGTGTGGAGTGTCAGTGATAATTCTAAGAAGCGATTGAAGTCATTTTCAGGTTATTAAAGCTGGAAATTAAACAGCATATTTGTACTTTATACATACTTGCCATGTTGATGTGCCAAGGTCCAATCAAAACTTGAAAATAAAATAAAACATATGCCCTATAAAACTTCTATGAACGATTAATGTGTTTGTTTATATTGCCTATAAGGACCTCATATTTGATGAAGGGGATAAATTAATGACTTACGTTGAATATTATTTTGATAACTGGCCAATATCATTGATTGAAATTTTAATGTTCTGTGTGCTGCCACATTGATACTTATAAAGACTTAAGTCATAAATAGTAGTATACTTACTTTAAGCTTTATCAAAAAGTAAACTATTGAGAATGGAAGGTAAGTTCACTTCTAAAAGGTTGATAATAGACTAATATATAGTTAATTGACTGTGAGGAAGTGAATTAATTAGATTATGCATGTATTTTATAACTAAAAGCTCAGAAGAAAATATCCTTATTATATAATTGTTTGAGCGTCCTGTCTTGATTTACATGTACATTGTTCAGAATGTGCAGATCCAGAGGAGAGTTTAGGGATCAAGACCCCCCCCCCCAAAAAAAAAAAACCATAACCTTGACCTTTTTGCAATAAAAGGCTTTAACTTTGTAATTACTGAATGTGTTATCTGCATCCTTTTGCACATCATTCATGAAGTTTTAATTGAAATTGATCCTAACCTTAATTTAACCTTGACACCTAAGGTGTACTCTTAATATGTCACATTCTCAAAATAAAGTTAATTATTAGTAAGGTCATTTTTGTGTCGCCTCTACGGAGTAGTGGCGACATATAGGGATCACTTCTCCGTCGTCTGTCTGTCTGTCCGTCTGTCCGTCACAAAACTTGTCCGGACTACTCCTCATAAACTACTGGTGCAATTTCATCCAAACTTTACAGGAATGATCAGTACCAAGTCTAGTTGTGCATATTGTCAGCATTTTCCGGTTCAATGATTTTTGTCAGAGTTATAGCCCTTTAATAATTTTTATTTTTAAAGTTTGTCCGGACTACTTCTCTTATACCACTAATGCAATTTCAATGAAACTTTACAGGATTGATCTGTAGCTCAAGTCCTTGCGCATATTGCACGGGTTTTCCGGTTGAATGATTTTTGGCCGAGTTATGGCCCTTTGATAAAAAAGGTGTTTTTTTTCTGTGTGTTGCCAGATACACAAAAGCTTGTCCCCACTACTCCTCATAAACTACTGGTGCAATTTCATCCAAACTTTACAGGAATGATCAGTACCAAGTCTATTTGTGCACTGTCCGTCTGTCTGTCCGTCTGTCACAAAACTTGTCCCAACATGAAATTGGCCATTATGAGGCGACACATGTGATGATCACTGATCGCTCTTGTATTTATTTATGGATTTGATTTATACTTGGACAAAAGAACCCTAAGGACAAAACCCAAATGTTGAATACATGTAATTCAAATATGACTTTGACCTTTATTTGAAATTGACCTTCAAAGTTCAAAAGTTGCTATATTATCAAAACTTTATTTGCACATTTGATTCAATTGCTTGGACAAAAGAACATGTATGACAAAACCAACATGTTAAATTAATCTGATATGAATTTAACCTTTAATTGACCTTGACCCTCAAGGTCAAATTATTAAAATTTGCCTTTAAAAATTGTCATAACTTTGTTATTCATTATTGGACAAAGAGCATATTATGACAAACTGACATGAAGATTATTTCAAATGTGTCCTTGAACTTTGAATGACCTTGACTATCAAGGTCAAATATGAAATTAGAATTTTAATGTTGCAAAAATATGTTTTGTATTAGTACTCTCTAAAATGTTCTTCTTTAGATGTGTTTGACTTCAGAAATAAGAAAAAGTTGAGCATGGCCCCAGTGAGTGAGTGCTTGGTGGTGGCTCTTGTTATTTAGACAACTAAGTCATATTAGGGGGTATTAATAGGAATTCTAAAAGAAATGTTTATAGGATTGGGAATTTTAATTAGTTTATTAAATATCAGTTGTTTTTTTTTTCGCTTTTTTTCCATTCTATACAGCTGATCATTAGATTGTGCATGTATATAACCTTATTATCGTATAATGTTTTTGGTGATCACATTAGACCTACATTTTGTAGATATAGAATTTACAGTGTATGATTACTTATTATTGTAATAATATTATCAAATATGATGCATAGTTGATCTCATCCCCACAATTAGCAGGACAAGTGTGTGTCCTAATGTTTGTAGATTCTAGCAAAAAATTGTGCGAAAATTCCACCTCTCCTTATCAAAAAAAAGAAAGATATAAAATCTTAAACAAACGTTTATTCTGATGTATTTAAGTTTACTTTAAAACTGGTTTCTTCTTTCCTCTTTTGATTAAGCATCTAAGCTTAAAGCCAAAAATCAAGGGTACATCAGGGGGATTATAACCTGGTTTAAGGAATAAATATTTGAGCCGTGTCATGACAAAACCAACATAATGGGTTTGCGACCAGTATGGATCCAGACCAGCCTGTGCATCTGCGCAGTCTGATCAGGATCCATGCTGTTCGCTATCAGTTTCTCTTCTTGTAATAGAGTTGGTAAGCGAACAGCATGGATCCTGATCTACAGATCCATGCTGGTTGCAAACCCATTATGTTGGTTTTGTCATGACGCGGTTCATTTCTTTTTACAGAAGTATTTTTATGTATTGTAGGTAATACGAGATGAAGGTATTAAGATGAGAGAAGAGAATACGTACCCGGCAGAAGAAGGGAGAAGACCTTGTAACATCAAGAAAAACCGATATAAAGATATTTTACCCTGTGAGTATAATGATCATTGAACTTTCAGTTTTTAGTCGCTGATGGCCTACGTACCATAATGCAGCCTCAGAAAAAATTGTGCAAGTCGAAACTTTTATAGCACCAGCAAAGCTGAGGTAAAATCACAGCCCTTTTTAGGGGGTGAAGGCCAGATGGTTGGATTCCTATCTATTACCTTGCAATGTGGGTTTAGCTTTTATCCCCAGCAAATTTTGGAGCAAGAATACACCTCTCCATTGGCCCCAGAGTGCGGGGATAGCTGGAAGGTTACCGGAGGTATATACACAAAGTCAATTGGCTCTAGATTGTTTCCCCTTTGCTATTCTACAAACATCAAAATAATTAATGATTAAAGATGATATAAGATATAAAACCTGGAAGTTAAAGAAAGGTATCATAGAACATACATCATGATTTGTTGGTTTTAATTGAAAGCCATATTCAATATAAGCTATATTTGATTTGTTACGTACAAATGTACTGTAATATCAATGCATTTATTATTGATGAAATTTCTGGCTCTTTCAAACTTAATCTTACGATTTATATTTAGAATATTTTACACACTGCTCTATAGATGTAAACATTCAAAATGTCAGTAAATACTTGCTGCCTGCCTGATTTTGCTTTGTCAGAACTAAAACATATGCCATACCATAAGCAAAAAGTACAGGAATATCTATTTTTATCTTCAGTGTCCTTGACATTGACTCAATTGACCTTGAACCATAGTCAAGGTTAAGGTTTCATGGGAGGTACGGTCACACTAAATACATTTACATGTATATCAGTTGTCAAATAAAGGTTTTTCTAAGAAACACACTGTTATAATATACAGGAAAAAAACCCAAAAACTCGCAACTTATTTAAAATTGCTCAACTGGGAAGAAAAAGAAAGAATTTCGTTAATATGAAACTGCTTATTGAAATATTTGAAAGTCATTATGAAATTGTAAAGACTACTGAATAGAAAGATATTTTATCTTGATATTTTATATTATGTCAAGCTAGCTATTATACATATAAAGTAATATTTGCAGTTTTCATACAGGGCTACTGTTTAGTGTTATTGGAATTTTGACACGTTATTTACATACTAGCAAAAACTAGGTTTATAAGTATACATAAAAATAATGGGGAAAACTGATATATGTATGTATGAGCATCTTCCTGGTTGTTTACTGTCTAGCTATTTATAAATGAATCCACCGGGATATTAAATTTTGAAAGTTTGAAGATTTGCTAAATTTTGACGAATAAGCTTGAAGGGGAAGGGTTGGCGGGGGGGGGGGGGAGGGGAGGAATGAATGTGGATGTTTTAGTTGAATGGTGCACAACAGTTTACAACTGAAAAATAGTGTAGTCAACCTCATTTGCACTTATTTTGGAAGTAATAAATGTAACTAAAAATTTGTACTCCTGGAATAGCTGTGAATAACTTCAAATTTTCTAAATTCTTCAGTTTGTCTAGCTTAGTTGCCTACAATTTATGAAACTATGAAAAGTATCTTAAATTACCACTTAGGTAACAAGTCAAAAATGATTATATATTGAAAATGTATCTAAATTGCCTACAAGACATGATGTTTGATAATTAAATTTTAGTGTTTATATGCTCCCTGAAGGGTGAGCATAAAGTCCTGCTTTGTCTGTCCATCCATCTGTCCATCTGCTTTTCTTGTCTGGGTGACATAACTCAACACAACAAGTATGAACATGAAACTTTGTAGGCAAATAGATCTCATTGAGTAGATGTGCAGTTCTTAAGAACCGTACATGTTACTGCCTTGCCTAATTTTGGAGTTATTGCCCGTTGTTTAGTTTTACACTTTGAACTTGTCTAGGACATTATTAAACTCTAATACCATATGAGATATCAACATGAAACTTTGTAGGTAGAAAAATGTCATTGGGTAGAAGTGCTGTGCAAAAGAAACGTAATTCTGCCTTGCCTAATTTTGGAGTTCTTGCCCTTTGTTCATTTTATACACTTTGAACTTTGTCCAGGAAATAACTCTAAAAATATAAGAGATACTACTTTGTAGGTAGATAGATCTCATTGTGCACAAGAACCATAACTCTACCTTGCCTAATTTTGGAGTTTTTGCCCTTTGTTCATTTTTAGCTCGACTATTCGATAAGAATAAGTAGAGCTATTGTAGTCACCCGAGCGTCTGCGTCAGCGTAACCACTTATGTTAAAGTTTTTGTAATACATACACAATGTAGTTCAAATATTTTCAAAGTCCATTGACATATGGCTTTGAAACTTTGCACACTTGTTCACCATCATTACCCCAACCTGTAAACAGGAGGAGGTAACTGTATCAAGCATTTTGACAGAATTATGCCCCTTTTTCGACTTAGAATTCAGACTTCCCGAAAGTTGAAAAAAACTGTCAGACATTCGGTCTGACAAACCACGAAAATCCGTCGGACCGAAACAAAATCTGTCGGACCAAATAAAATTGATCAAAATCAAAGAAAAACTTGTGTTTGTATTTCTAAGACACTTTTTGTTTTTTATTTTTTCGCCGTAAAAATCGGCATAATCCGTACAGCGCATTTTCATCTCCTCCCTGTCATACACCAATGATTCATAGTTCTGCTTCCATTTTTCATTAAATTTTGTCTCAGGTCTATTCTTTCCATCCTTTTATTGCTGTTCTGCGCACTCTTCTGACGTATATTTTCGGTTATTCCCAGGTTTGGCACCTTTAGCGACGCCATTTTGTATACATGCGGCTTGGATAAAAGCCGGACAGTCGGACCGATCCGGAATAAAAAATTGTCGGACCTGATCAAAATTTATCGGACATGTCCGTCGGACCGACGTATTTCGGGAAGTCTGAGAATTTACGTTAAAGTTTTTGTAATAGTTCAAATATTTTCAAAGTCCATTGACATATGGCTTTGAAACTTTGCACACTTGTTCACCATCAATACCCCAACCTGTAAACAGGAGGAGGTAACTGTATCAAGCATTTTGACAGAATTATGCCCCTTTTTCGACTTAGAATTTACGTTAAAGTTTTTGTAATAGTTCAAATATTTTCAAAGTCCATTGACATATGGCTTTGAAATTTTGCACACTTGTTCACCATCATTACCCCAACCTGTAAACAGGAGGAGGTAACTGTATCAAGCATTTTGACAGAATTATGCCCCTTTTTCGACTTAGAATTTACGTTAAAGTTTTTGTTATACCTCAAATATTTTCAAAGTCCATTGACATATGGCTTTGAAACTTTGCACACTTGTTCACCATCATTACCCCAACCTGTAAACAGGAGGAGGTAACTGTATCAAGCATTTTGACAGAATTATGCCCCTTTTTCGACTTAGAATTTACGTTAAAGTTTTTGTAATAGTTCAAATATTTTCAAAGTCCATTGACATATGGCTTTGAAACTTTGCACACTTGTTCACCATCATTACCCCAACCTGTAAACAGGAGGAGGTAACTGTATCAAGCATTTTGACAGAATTATGCCCCTTTTTCGACTTAGAATTTACGTTAAAAGTTTTTGTAATAGTTCAAATATTTTCAAAGTCCATTGACATATGGCTTTGAAACTTTGCACACTTGTTCACCATCATTACCCCAACCTGTAAACAGGAGGAGGTAACTGTATCAAGCATTTTGACGGAATTATGCCCCTTTTTCGACTTAGAATTTACGTTAAAGTTTTTGTAATAGTTCAAATATTTTCAAAGTCCATTGCTATATGGCTTTGAAATTTTGCACACTTGTTCACCATCATTACCCAACCTGTAAACAGGAGGAGGTAACTGTATCAAGCATTTTGACAGAATTATGCCCCTTTTTCGACTTAGAATTTACGTTAAAGTTTTTGTTTATACCTCAAATATTTTCAAAGTCCATTGACATATGGCTTTGAAACTTTGCACACTTGTTCACCATCATTACCCCAACCTGTAAACAGGAGGTGGTAACTTTATCAAGCATTTTGACAGAATTATGCCCCGTTTTTGACTTAGAATTTTCGTTAAAGTTTTTGTAATAGTTCAAATATTTTCAAAGTCCATTGACATATGGCTTTGAAACTTTGCACACTTGTTCACCATCATTACCCCAACCTGTAAACAGGAGGAGGTAACTGTATCAAGCATTTTGACAGAATTATGCCCCTTTTTCGACTTAGAATTTACGTTAAAGTTTTTGTAATAGTTCAAATATTTTCAAAGTCCATTGACATATGGCTTTGAAACTTTGCACACTTGTTCACCATCATTACCCCAACCTGTAAACAGGAGGAGGTAACTGTATCAAGCATTTTGACAGAATTATGCCCCTTTTTCGACTTAGAATTTACGTTAAAGTTTTTGTAATAGTTCAAATATTTTCAAAGTCCATTGACATATGGCTTTGAAACTTTGCACACTTGTTCACCATCATTACCCCAACCTGTAAACAGGAGGAGGTAACTGTATCAAGCATTTTGACAGAATTATGCCCCTTTTTCGACTTAGAATTTACGTTAAAATTTTTGTAATACCTCAAATATTTTCAAAGTCCATTGCTATATGGCTTTGAAACTTTGCACACTAAAAAATGTTCACCATCATTACCCAAACCTGTAAATAGGAGGAGGTATCTTTATCAAGCATTTTTTTTTTACTATCAAGCACTAAGAATAGTCGAGCATTGCTGTCCTACCAACAGCTCTTGTTACTCTTTGAAGTTTGTCCTGGACATAACTATAAATCTATAAGAGACATCAACATGAAAATTTGTAGGTAGATAAATTTCATTACATAGGAGTGCAATGCAAAAGAACTGTAACTCTGCCTTGCCTAATTTTGGAGTTTATGCCCTTTGTTCATTTTTACACTTTGAACTTTGTCTGGACATTGCTCTGAAACTATAAGAGATATCAACATGAAACTTTGTAGGTAGATAGATCTTATTGGGTACATGTGCAGTGCACAAGAATTTTAACTCTGCCTTTGTCTAATTTTGGAGTTATTGCCCTTTGTTCATTTTTTCACTTTTAACTTTGTCCGGGACATAACTCTTAAACCATAGAAACATCGTAGGTAGATTGATCTCATTGAATAGAAGTGCAGTGAAAAAGAACCATGACTTTGACTTGCCTAAATTTTGAGGTATTGCCGATTGTTCATTTTAACTTTGAACTTTGTCCGGGACATAGCTCTGAAACGATAAGAGGCATCAACAAGAAACTAATTCGGTAGATAGATCTCATTGAATAGAAGTGCAGTGCAAAGAACAGTAACTCTGTCTTGCATAAGTTTGGAATGATTGCACTCTGATGAACTTTGTTCGGGACATAACTCTGAAACTACAAAAGGTATACTTTTCTGTGTCCAAAACCTATTTGGGCAGCATCACCCGGTTCAACTGGCTCTTGTTGTTGTTTTTTTCCAAGAGATGGTTTTTATAAGTACATGTATATGAAAAATTATTTTTTCTTTACACACTTATAAGCTGTATTGCAAGTGATTTTTTAATTAATTACAAGTTATTAAATGATTATAATCATTGATTTAAGTTAATCATAACTGATACTTTATTGTTATAAGTAGGCATGGTCTTACAAGTGGAAATTAAATCTTTATTGCTTAAGTGCAAAACTTGTAACATATAACTCAATTGAAAATTCAAAATTAAGCAATTTGAAGTTTACATTGTATGACGTAACTTCCTTCTTCCTCAGTGTGTCTCTTTTTATTCCTTCAAACCTGCTTGAACTGAAAGTGACAAACCTTCGCCACTGGTAAAACATTAATTAAGAGCCGGGCTCAAGTTTGGTATTTTGATATGAAATCCCTTAATCTGTAAATGAACTGTTCTAAATTCAAAGCAGGGTAAATTCAGTAGGTTAGGTTTATTCAGTAAGTTAAGAATGTAAATTTGAAAATACTAAAATCAATGCATATTAAAATTTTCTTTTTTTTTCTGGTGATTTAATACTGTACAGAAAGTATATCATTGAAACATGCTCTTTAACCTTTATTATTTAAAATTGCAATAATGCTTAAGTAACTAAGTTGGATCATATGTTAAAAGGGAATAATTATGTTTGTTAATAGTCCTAAAGTAATTTTATGTATGCAAGGTGCCTGTGTTACCATAATACACTGTTTGTAAACAAAAAGTAAAATGAATATGTACTAAAAAAAATAATTGTAATATTATGCATGCATAATTATAAATAAGTGTGGAGGGGACCGCAGGGACTGTTGTGGCCTCGGATTTGTTTTCATATTGGTATTTATAGGTGGGACGGCCATGGTGTGTTTTGGGCAAAAAATCTCATACTGAGACTGCAGTAAAGTCATCATGATGAAAATATAAGTGGAGCATGTAACTTATAATAATGCACTTTACCAGAGGTTAAGCCAATGAAATCAATGACAGACATCTGGTGTTCTTTGCCTACTTAATGTAATGTTTTATAAGCATTGATTTTAACACATTAGAAACAGAACGTTATATCAAGATATTGTAATAGATGAGGAAAACTTAGAAAAAAAAATTTTGCCAAATATACAATAAAACTTGAGGGAACTTGAAGCTCTGGCTTCCAAAACTTTAAATGTTGATTTTATATACTTCTGGCTTCCATTACTTTTATTTTGACGTTGTGCAACTGTAACAGTAGTTATATAGCAATATTATAAAACCGACAAGCATCCTGACAAGTTTGATGACAATTGAGGCAAAAATGTGACCGCTAGAGTGTTAACGAACAAATGTGGACAGACGACAGACGCCCACTGAAATCTCTTTGAAGCTAAATGGGACTTGAGTTCATGTTATGTTGATTATGGTACGAAGATCATCAGAGTTGTGTCCCCTGATAATTGTAGGTGTGGCTTAAATTTGCCAATATCGTAAGATGTATTGTCAGATCATGGTCTGCATGCACTGTTCACTATTCTGCTAGTTTTTCCAAAAAAGTAAAATTTGTGAAAAGTTTGATTGTCCAGATTGAATGATGGAAATGTTCATTTAAGATATTTTGTATGATATAAGAATGTAACACTCTTTCTGCCTTTTGTGATTATGAAATTGTCCAACTACATGTACATGTTTATAAGCGGACATTGTTGCTATGTTACATTGTTACTATGTCATTGTTACTATGCTTCAGTGTTATAATTATAAGTCATGGGAAATTGTTATACTTACTGTGAATAATCGAAATTGCATAACAATAGTATATACTTAAGGAAGGACACTTAAAAGATCTTGAGAAATGCAGCAGAAATTAAATTTGCATGTGGTAAACCACAAACAATGATTTGTCCTTCAGTGGTTTCTCACTTAGTTTGGAAGAGGCTTTTAAGATTCTTGATTTTGGGAAGGATTATCGCTAAAATTTCAAATTTGGGATGCAACATCAGTAGAAAAGCTGGCATCCGTCCACTGATTTGCATGATTTTAAAGAAAATTTAAATTGGGTAGAGGCCTTTAATAGACCTTTGTAATATAAGGTGAAAAATCACTGCAATTGACTACAGATTTTGGTATTGTAGATTAAGTTTATGCACATGCTAGCTGGCTTATGAGGTGAAGTGTGTCATAATATATTTAAGTCAGCTATAATACACCCTGGGGTGAAGAGTACTAGTTGTAGTTTGCCAACATCAGTAAATCCAAACTTCATTAAGGCCTGCATGAATTAATAATACAAGCAGTAATTCACATGTAAAGTAAAATAGAAAATTACAAAATTAGTGTACTTAATTGTAAGTGCAAAATTGTTGTTGTAATAATGTATGAGCATAATAATTTGTTATTCTAAAGTTAAATTATTTAATATACTGCAAGCTGTGCAAAGTTATTGTATTGTTTTGTGCAAAATTATTGAACAGTTGTGGTGTGCAAAGTTCAGTTATTGTATTTGCAGTGGGCAAAATAAGTGCAGAGTTATTGTACTGGCAATAAATATATACAGAATTATAATGTACTTGCAGAGATATTGAAATTTAGTTTTGGTTTCAATGTCCTTTTCTCGTTTAAATGTAGTAACTCTTGTAATAAAGTAATATATGTATAATGCTTAAATGCTGCAAGATGTTATATACATATTGCACCATTAGTACATGTATTGTAGTTTGAATGAAATTTGTGAAACCAGGAAAATTTTAACTTGATCAGTACAGTATACAAATTCTAAATCAGATTTATTTTATTTTAAATTCAAAGTCCAAAAACATAATGCCTCACAAAAGACACAATTTTTTTTTTACTCCATAAAACCTTAACGTTTGACATGTCAGTTGAATTGATTTTATACAGAAGTCTGGCTAATATGTCACATGATGTGCTCATTGTTTTCAATGTCTTTATAATAACTCTACATATGTTTTGATATATAAATTGGCCAGTCAAAAGGTGACTAAGCCATTTTTTAGCATTTTCCATTTTTCTTTGATCTAAAGAATCTTACATATCATATATACATGTACAATATAGACTGACTAAAAATACATTAAAGTTATCCAAGAAAGTTATCATGGTCCTGGTAAAACTTGTACCAGAAAAAGTTAACACGCTTAGAGCTAATGTTTCTTTACCACTTTCCTGAACAGTTACATTTAATATATTACTTATTTGTAAGATCATATATATATATATATATATATATATGGTGTAGTGGTTAGCATACTGGACAAGAAATCCACTGATTTGTGGTGCAAATTGTGGCCGATTTTTTGTGTGATTTTTCTTGTGATTTTTCTATGATTAAGATTTTTCATTTTCCTGTTCTTTAATTTCTTCTTCTCAATATATTGTATAAATATGTTGATATATAACCATATATCTAATATCTTAGGTAGCAAATTAAAAGTATTAGTATTTTGTTATATTTCACAGTTGACCAGACGCGGGTAACTCTCACCGAGATACCAGGAGAGGATGGGTCAGATTATATCAACGCAAATTTTATTCAGGTATTTAAAGTTTTATAATATTGTGATTAGATAATACACAGGTACCTGTGTTTATCTATACTGTTACACCTCTCCCTCATTTTTTCCACACCTTTTGAAAAAATCGATGTTATTTTCCTGAAAATTTAAGTCAAGGACTCCTTTTGCTACCTGTGGAAAATATGCCCTGGTTTAAATGTAGTAATATTAAAATTTTTAAATAATCAAATATTCTGTTATATATTTCATGAATACAGTAACTGTTACTGTTACTGGCCAGAACTTTAAAATCTCAAACACCCTGATATCTCAAACATCCCTGACATCTCAAGCATCCCTGAAATCTTAAACGTCCCTGATATCTCAAACATTCCTGAAATCTCAAACACCCCTGAAATCTCAAACACCCCTGAAATCTCAAACACCCCTGAAATCTCAAACATTCCTGAAATCTCAAACATTCCTGAAATCTCAAACATTCCTGAAATCTCAAACACCCCTGAAATCTCAAACATTCCTGAAATTTTAAACACCCCTGAAATCTCAAACATTCCTGAAATCTCAAACATTCCTGAAATCTCAAACACCCCTGAAATCTCAAACATTCCTGAAATCTCAAACATTCCTGAAATCTCAAACATTTCTGAAATCTCAAACACCCCTGAAATCTCAAACATTCCTGAAATCTCGAAACATTCCTGAAATCTCAAACATTCCTGAAATCTCAAACATTCCTGAAATCTCAAATACCCCTGAAATCTCAAACACCCCTGAAATCTCAAACACCCCTGAAATCTCAAACATTCCTGAAATCTCAAAACATTCCTGAAATCTCAAACATTCCTGAAATCTCAAACATTCCTGAAATCTCAAACATTCCTGAAAACTCAAACGTCCCTGAAATCTCAAACATTCCTGAAATCTCAAACATTCCTGAAATCTCAAATGTCCCTGAAATCTCAAACATCCCTGAAATCTCAAACATCCGTGAAATCTCAAACTGACCCTAGAAATTAAATATCAAACACCCCAGATATTTTGAACACTTTAAGTCTCGGCAAAGTTCTAACTACTGTATGTTGTATATTATACTGTTTATTAATAAAACCTTTAACAGTTAAAATCTGTGTGTTTAATGTAATTGTCCTGTTTAGACCCTATAATCAAAGCCCTACAAATAAATGTTTGCCTGTCACAGTACTCAGGGTATACAATCATAGCTACAGGTATTTGGCTGAAAATTTATCACTGCTTGGGTTTATTGAGTTAAAAGTTCAATAACATCTTGACTGTATCTAAATATATAAATGTATATGAATTTTATGTAATTAATTGAAGGAGGCTCAACTTTTATAGAGCTTTACCTGTATGAAGGACATCGTTGTATTAAATTCATTGAAGTGTGACAAAATGTCCAAGTTATTGATAGAAAAAATCTAAATGTTTAATTACTGGAGAGATTTTTTTTGAAGATATAGCAATCTCTTTTTTGATGGCCTTAAATCTTTTATTAACAAGTGAAACAAAATTTGTCTCGTTCTGAAATAAATGAAATCTTTGAACTAAATGATGTTAAAATATTGAGTGAATTAAACTTTAAGGTTGGTATTTATCATTCAACCAGATCCAGTGATAATATTCACTTATTTAAGGTAAAATGAGGTTTCAACTTGATTTGTAATTTATACATGATGTATTCTTCAGGCACTCAGCTTTTTTAGCATTTGTGCTTGTTATACATCTGAAGAATCTACATGTTTTATTATGGTATAGCCTTGTCTGTCTGTCTGTCTGTCTGTAAACAGTCGGTTTCCGCATGATAACTTTTGAAGGATTTCAATGATTGTGTTTATATTTCATATGTAAATATGCTATATGAAAACAAAGGTCAAGTTTGATTTTTACAGCAGTGATTTTATTATTGACAGAGTTATGAATTATGCCCTTTTTGACAAAGTAATGAGTTATGCCCTTTTTGACAGAGTAATATATTATGCCCCTTTTCAACCAAATTTTTCTGTAAAATTAATGGTTTCCATTTCTTTTGAATTTGCCAGTGGGCTTGGCGGATGTTGCCTTGCCTTAACAAAGCTCTTGCTACAATAATTGTGCTGTTCAAGAGCGAAGCCTGAATCTGAAGGTCAATTCTACATGTGGTTAATTATAAAAACTTTTAAAAAGTGATGTTATAATTGTGTAAATAATAGTTGTGGCAGGTTTATAACTTTTTCATTATTTGATAGTAATTGTTTCACGCAAGACTCAGGTCTCATTGTGCCACATACAACACCAAGGTTTGTAGGTCAAAGGCCAAGGTCACTCAGCAGTGTATTTCTTAAAAGTGGATAAATCGTTGTATCTGGTCAACAATTCTCTCATTCCTAGATGGATTTTCAAATAACTTTGCATAAATATAGGGTTTATTAAGAAGACGAGTTTTGCTCAGGAGACATTTCAGAAGCCCAAAGGTCAAGGTCACACTTTAGTTGATAGTCATGTCCTGTCCATATGGTTACCTTTGTCATAATTGACAGATTACAAAAAACATGGCATATAAACATGTGTAAATTAATAAAAAAATGTGTATGAATGAGAACATGCTTGTATTATACATAAAGGTCAAGATCAAGGTAATATTTCATAAAAACACATTGATGGCTATGTCCAATCATCAATTCTGCCATTCATTAATGGATTTTAAAATGATAAGGCATACATTTGTAGCACATAAAGAGGACTTGTCAAACACGACATGACTAGGTCTACAACTTCTAATAAGGCTAAGTAGGGTCAAGAAAAATAGTACTTTGATGATTGTTTTATGTCTTTCATTATTTGTCACTCGTTCATGGATGTTTTCTGAAATAATTGGGCTAACTGAAAATAAAAGAAAGAATTTATGAACATTTCTTGTAACAGTCTCTATAGTTATCATGATTCTTTGTAAGTCAGTCATGGTCCCTTTACTAGGCCAAGCTAAGGGTGAATTTTTCTGTTTCCAGTGACTGTTTCTTTTTTCCAATAATAAACAGTTGGATTAGATTTAGTAAAAAAATTTCTGGAAAGCGGTAAATAAATTCTTGGCCTAAAATTTGATTGTTATAGATATATTTTAATTAATTTTTTACCTACAGGATCAGTATGGGGCCAAGTGTTATATTGCAAGTCAGGGGCCTGTTCAGACCACAGTTTATGATTTCTGGCGAATGATCATACAGTACAAGGTGAAGGTCATTGCCATGGCATGCAAGCTGATTGAAATGGGAAAGGTAAAGATATAATTTTTGTAATGATTTTTTGCCCAATTCTTTACAGTCGAAAAATTTAAGGGCGTTTCCCGGGGCCCAAAATAGGTATATTTTCCCCTGAAATACCATGTGCATGTTGTTCACAAGAACCATGACTTGACAGCAGCTGGCTTATATAAGCTAGTTGATAAATTTAACTGATTGAAAGATAGAAAGCAGCTTCTAAGATAACCATCATTATGTGCTATGCATGTTAAATTGAATTGAAATTGAAAATTTTCTAAAATGTATGGGTTACATAATACTCCATTCTCAGTTGTTGGAATGTGATTTCAGCGTTTCCTATAGCCTTTAAGCTGACACCAGAATCAAAGGTTCAGGGTGAGCTATTATATAGTATCAAAGCGGATGCTTTCAGCCGCCAGACAACCGTCGTCATGCGTTTACATTCATCTTCTATGAAACTGCTGGGCAGATTTATTTCAAATTTGGTCTGTAGCATCCTTGTGACAGTCACACTTAAATTTGCTCATATCATTCCAATTTGGCTTTTTAGGGGTCTCTAGAGCTAAAAATAGAAAAAAACTTTAAACATCTTCTATAGTGAACTAATTGATGAATGATCACCAAACTTTGTCTGTAGCATTTATCAAATTTGCTCATATAGTTGTTTTAGGGTAATTACGAAGTTACCTAATATAAGTTGATATGAATCAATTCATCTTAGGGTTTCACAATCCTTCAAGCATATATTCAAGTGATGATACAAACACTGTTTCAGACTCAAAGCATGGCTTTCTGTTATAGGAATGGTATAAGAATTCATCAATGTAAACTTCAATAGAAGCTCTTTAGTTTATAGGATATACTCAAAGTTTGTCTGTATGTTTTATAAGATAAAAAATTTCTTATGTATTTAGATCATTTTGTCCACTCATATTATGGTACATCAATTTTATGGTGTGTAAACAAACTTTTAAGATGGCATTGTTTATGATTTGAGGGTCAGTTTATTGACTGAATTTTTTATGGGAAGGTGGCTTGTACTTATTTACATACAATGTATGTATAACACATGTATAAATGCATTAAATTCCTTAGTAGTCTGTAAATAGAAGGTTGAAAAAGGAATATGTAGCTTGTGCCGAAGAACACATCTGAAGTCAGGACTAACACTGGCAAATTTTTTCTGTGAGCCAATTTTTCGCGGCAAAAATTGCCTACCTGTATTTTATAAAAAAAAAATTCAAATCAGGCAATGGTATGGCATGAGATATTTAGAAAAACATAAACTATATCCAACTTTATTTTGGTAGCTACATTTTTATTAAATTAACAAATCTTACATATATAATTTACAGTCAGTAATCATATAAAAGCTTAGAGGTCAGTAATTATAACATTTGCCAAAAGTTAGGCAGCAAGGTTCCCTTTAAATCTAAGTTTGTGGATAAGCCAGTGTACAGTATTATTATTCAGCTGTCTATGATCAGGTGATTAAGTCACAAGACCTGATTTCTGGGAAAACTATCACAAATTACTTTGACAATTGTCACAATTCAATGAAAAATCAGTGATTTTTCACCTTATATATCAGAGGCCTATAAAACACCTCTTCCCAATCGAAATTCCCAAAGGAAATTGGTTGTCTTGAACTCAGAAACCAGTTGGCTAAAACTAGGAAATCTCTGAGCCTTGGTCAAAAGGTCTTTTAAACGTCCAAAGTTTTACCTTCAGCGAAGACAAAAGTTGAAATAACTATACGCATATTAACTCAGTATGCATACCGGTGAAAGTGAAAAGCCTTGTATCGTCACTTTAGTGCAATAACGGGTTAAGTCCTTCTGAATTAAATAAGTGCTAGCCTGTTATTGCACTAAGGTGATGTTATGTTGAATTAGATACCAGTGTATAACATTCCCTTTGATAATTCATCGTAAAATATTAACATAAAAAGGTTTTTCTTGTTCATAGTTAATGATAACATCTCATTACAGGTACATTAAATACACGACCTTGTTTGTAATGTCTACATCTAAGTACCTGTACATTAAATTCACGACGTGTTTGTAAATGTTAGCAGATGTAAATTACTTTAACCATGATATTAAATATGTAACTCCTTACTTCCGTATTTTATTAATTAAATAATTATTTACATTCAGATTTTCTTCCGTGCTTGGCCGGGTATACAGTGTGTAAACTATCATACTGTTTTAGATTTATGATTTTTTTTTTTCCATATCAAGGAAGTATAAGTCTTTGGTATAGAATTCAGTATAAAGCCATTGGTTATTATAAGTTGTTTTTAGATTCAAGGATTAAATTTAGCATATCATTTATATATCTTATGCGTTTATACGTTTTTAAAACCTTTAAACTTTTACTTATTTGAAAAAAACATTAGCATGAATATAGCTTTAAAACATGATCTTGAGATTTCAGGACATGTTTATTAATTTTATCTTTTGTTTACAAGGCTTCTTTTCTTAAGGGACCGAAATATTTTTTTGGCAAGATTTATGTATAACTAGATTATGAGAGTCTAGACGAATAACTTGTGTACAAAATTTCAGATAATTTGTTCACTCCATTTGCCAGAGATAATCAATTTTATTAAATATTTAATTTTATTGTGCAAATTGAGCCCAAAAAGAAAAGCATTAAAACACTTCTTTACTGAATTCACTCGACCAAAAATCACATTAAAAATTGATTATCAATTTAATTCGTATGTTTATATATTTATTATCTACATTTTTTGTATTTCATAGATTTCCATCGTGCATTAGTTGATACAATGCTAAAATTTCAAATTTTATGATTTTATAATGTTCAGAAGATTTTCAGACCATGCTAAGTATCTTCATTGGACTTGTTTGTCTTTCAATCTGGACATAACTTTACATTTTTTAATTAATAAGTACATGCATTATAACTGAAAACCAAACAGTGCAGACCATGATCAGACAACCCAGATGTGCGGGTTGAACTTTTCTGTACTAGTCGCATTCATGGGTAGATTTCAGTTGCCCTCTGCAGGCTCAGGGAAAGGCAGGTCAGAAACATGGCCACTTAAATTTGTTTCTTTCAATTCTATTTACAATAAAAAATGTTACAATATTAGTCCATTTATATACTTTCAATAACTTTTTCAAGTCATATAACTGCACAATTCTGTGTTACTTTTGCACATTTCCTGCATTATTTGCACATTTAGGATTCCTGTGTAATACTGTGGAATATGCCGATTTAGAAAAATTGAAATAAACATCATAATTATTATGTAAACATGTTTAACATGCAAAAAAGAACAAAGCATTATCAAGTTACTAATTTGTGGCTATAAACAATAATATTACCTATTACCTATTGTTTGTATGAAGCTAATGAAATTAACGCCCAAGTTATTTATATTATAATGGAACAAAAATACTTTCTGTTTCATAAGATTTAAACTCTCTTTCACCAAAAAAAACAAAACGCAAAAACAAAAACAAAAAAACTACAAGTGATTACTGACCCTTCATATGGAGTGGTTTTTTTATTGTTTTATGTGATGACATAACAGAATAAACGTGATAGTGAAATTATTAATGTCCTCTGTTTAATTTATCAGTACTTTTACCATATAAAGGTAATTTCAAAGTTTAAAATAAAAAATCTCAAGTACTACCTCAATTGTTAATACCATGATAAACTTCCTGTAAGTTTATACACAGTTTAAACACTACCATGGAAAAGTTTTAAAGGTACATGAACTGAATGACTTAAAAATTTGAAACTATTCATTATTTAATTGTTTTCTGTATATCATTTTTTGTTTGAAATTTTTCATTCAGCCAAAGATTATTGTATCATTTTATGTTACTACATTTTGTACTTTCATTTTAATATAATAATTATACATGTTTAGTTTAATTTGATGTAATTTTAATTTCATCTGTTGTTATTAGTTTCATCTTTTGTCATAAATTAATTCTTGATTGAAAATAAATAAGGCACGCACCTTTAGTTCATTGTGGGGGGGGGGGCTTATCAAACATTTCATGTCGTATTTATTGATAAATGTACAATGATAAATAATCTTCCTGGTTGAGAGCATTTGGAAAATGACCAAGACTTCCGCTTGAATTAAAAACCTTTCCTATATAAGGCTTTATGATAAATTTTTGTTAGTTAAGTAGATAGCTGTTTTGTGAACATAGAAAGTGACTTTTAGAGTTGCTGACTGAGTGATAATAACAGTCTGACTGCTTGCAGTGACTTAAAGCTACTTGTGCGACTAGTTGCGAATAGTGCAGACCAAAATCACCAGCACATCCGTGCCATCTATTATAATGGTCCACACTGTTTGAAATTCAGTTAATACTTATTTTGAAATTTTCCCTCAAATTGATCAATGGTTTTGTGCAGATTGATAGATGAAGAAGTCAATTTTAGATATTTAGGGTGGTAAAAGATGTTTAATTGCTGCATGTGTTGGCGTAGAACAAAAAATTAGCCAAATTTTAAAGCTATGAGTGCTACTACACTAATACAAGCAACAGAAAGGCTTGGTCTGTGCAATATAATTATATAAGCTTGTACCAGACACACTCACAGGTTTTATATGTTTGGCTGTATTTTACACTGAAATTATTTCCTTTTTTTTTTCATTTATTATGTTCTTTCATATATGAATTACAAAAAACATTCCAGAAATTATTTCCTACCAAAATCCTTTACACTTTTAAAATTGATAATGGCCATTCCTGTATTCAAAACAGTTTCTTCATTAAAAATATTTTAGCAGACGGACGCTGAATATTTTATTTACATTTTAATTTTGTTCATTTTAGAGGAAATGTGAGCAGTATTGGCCGGACATGGAAGAAGACGTAGAGGAATATAGAGACATAACTGTTACACTGGTAAATTTTTCATGATTATTTGAGCCGCGTCACGACAAAACCAACATGGTGCATTTGCGACCAGCATGGATCCAGACCAGCCTGCGCATCCGCGCAGTCTGATCAGGTTCCATGCTGTTTGCTATCAGTTTCTCTGCTTGTTATAGAGTTGGTAAGCGAACAGCATGGATCCAGATCAGACTGCGAGGGAGGTCTGGATCCATGCTGGTCGCAAACCCACTATGTTGGTTTTGTCACGACGCGGCTCATTTATTTTGTTAACCATAGTGCAGTTTGATCATAAATTTGTTTACCCGTGATGCAATATGATTATTTACTTTGTTAACCGTGGTGCAATTTTCCCATATAAGGATCAGTTTACCTCCAAAAATGTAATAGTACCTTTTGATGCAAAGATTAGTTATATCTCTTATATATCCCTTCAGATTTAAATGAGTGACTAAATGGCTGATTGATGGTCATTGTCAATTACCCCTGACTGACTGGGTTTGAATCCAGTCAAAGGATTCTTTCATTGGAGAAGACAATGTTTCTTGTTATGTAGGTAAGGTCATTGGTTTTACTCATGCACCTGCTCATGCCTGAAATAATGCACAGAGTTGCACTCGAGGTCTTCCTTTTCAAGGGAAAATGATTAGTTGCCAAATGGCCTTTATTAAATTATGTAAAATGGATAGTAAGCAATATGAACCAAGTTATCATAATGGTTATAATGTAAGTGGGCTGTGTGAATTTAAAACTCACCATAAACGTTCTCATGTAAATTTTAATAATCATGTTAAGTCATCAATCATAAGTATGACATTTTACAATTTTTACAATGATTAAACTACCTAATGTAAACATTTAAAACAAAACAATCGTCTACTGAATTAAGATATCGATAATTGCTTTTCAAATAGTAATTATTACCTCCCCTTGCGCCCAAAGTTTCCCATAGTAATTATTACCTCCCCTGGCTGCAATTTTGGGGTCATTCCCAATATATCATATGTTTATGATAATATAATAATCTCAAATTATTCTATCATCTTCAAATAAACTGATAAAAATCTTTAACATATTAATGCTAAAATAATAATTTGCTGCATATGACTAAAAATGAATTGACAATTCACATAAATCAGTTGTAATGTCATATTGTTTTTTTTTTTTTCATTTTTTGTCAATTATACTTTATAGAATATTGACCCCCGAACTGGCTGCCACTTTTGGCAAGATAGGGAAAATATTGTAAAAATCAGGAACTATCTATATTTGTTTTAATCATGTGAGAAAAACAATACTTCTAGTTTTTTTGTTTTTAATTTCCTTGTCATGTACAGTTTAAAATTGATCACAATTAAAGTTCTATTCTTTGTAGTTTATAAAGCATAATGTTACGATCGCCAATGTCATTGTTTTTCAGGACATTGAGTTATCATTTTGTAAGGACATTTTAGTGACTCAGATTATTGCATTTGATATAAACATCATGCCTTGAGGTTTTTTTTAAAAAAGAAATTCTGAGTTGTTTTTCAAATCACAGGATTTTCATTGGTCAATTTTACATTGTGTAGCAGATTGTGATCAATCAAATTGAAGCCTTTTCTTTATAACCTTTGACCCTTGGTTTGATAAATTCAGATTAGGCTTACATTAAACTAGTATTACATGCATAGGCAGAAATAAAAATAAGGAAGACGAAGTTATATGAAGATTTGCCAAACTAGTCAAAATCGAACATTTTGAAGGCGTTTAATTTGATCGAGGCTGCTTATGGCCAGCAATTATGGTTTATCGGTGCTTAGATCTAATGTTGTCCTTTAGCCGAAAAGATTATCTAGATCTATTAATAAATAATATGGTCAACTGAGTCTCCCTCTGACTTTTAAGGAGCTTTTTTGTTTTGTTTCAATGTCTTATTTGTTGTTGTCTGTTTGAATGAATCAGAAATTTTCTTTGACAAAATTTAAAGTGTAATGGACTGTTGTTGTCATATGATTGTAGGTGTCGACAGAAGATATAGCTGATCACTTAACGAAGAGAGTGATGAGGGCAGTGCGAGCCGGTCATGGCAGTGTAACTGTTACACAGTTCCACTACATAGGCTGGCCTGATCACGACATTCCAAATGATTTTGACGTTATTCTGGAAATGATGGCAGAGATGCGGGAAATTAAATCTCAAGATACGGAAAAAGCCCCTATGGTTATACACTGCAGGTAAATTTTAATCTCTACACTCCTGAATTATAGACATAGATTTGCCCTGCTTAAAATTTGGTAAAGTCCATTGTTACCTGAAGGACTTTTAAAGTATAAAATGAAATACAGTACAACTTCTATAGAGCAAGACCTTTTGGGAATCAGAGAATTGCAGGGCAACACCTTTTCAGGAGACAAAGAATTTTACTGTTGCTAAGAGGTGTTGGTTTGGAGAGGTAAAATTTACTGTGAAATTGTTACATTGGGAAGACACATTAAATACTATTATTGTAAAGAGTTAACTGCCACATAGAGGGCTGTTGTGTCGGGGATATACTGTACAGCCAACATTATAGAATGTGGACAGATTGCAGTACTCAGACTGGACTTGCTTTATATTACGAGTGTTATTATCGTAATATTTTTGGCAAGAATTTGTAATAATTATTTGGACTGCAAGATCAACCGATTTTGCAAAACTTATATTACATAGAAGTCGGGTATCCCTTGTATATATAATAAAAAGCCCTGGCGCACAATTTGTAAAGCTAGTAGGTTAATTGGTAAAGCTAATAGGTAAATTGGTATTGTAATTAATTTTGCAAGAACAGAGCGATAATTGCGGCATTAAAGCATCCTGCATTGATTCTGATTAGTAACAGTGAGGAGAATTTTTTGTTTTGGAACAGTCAGTAAAGTAACTGTTGAATCTTGAAAATCGTAACAGTTCATTGTGTTAAATCTTATATATATTACAATGTTTCTAATTTCAGTGCTGGTTGCGGTAGAACGGGAACAATATGTGCCATTGACTTTGCTTGGGATCTTCTTAAGTCAGGGGTAGGTATTTTCAGATGACCACACAACATGAAAGCCTCATGCTGCAGATGATATTTTATTTTATTTACAGCCACTCTATTCCAAGAATAGTAGCCTGGGTGTTGCCACATGCATAACACTTTGGTTAAAGTTTTGCATGCAACATCATATCTCATTTAAACTACTAAGAATATTTGCTTGTAACTTCTCACACTTATTTGAGGGCATAGGAGGTTATCACTATCCAAGGCTCATCACTGTAACAAGGATTTTGACACAATTATAGCTCTTTTTAAACTTGGAAAATTCTTAGTTAAAGTTTCTCGTTCAACATCAATCTTCATAACTTATTGACGGTATTCATTTGAAACTAACTATATCATAGTTCAATGTTGACTTAAAGGTTTGAGTTTTATAAGCCTTTCTTGACATGGTATTTGTTGATTTCATTTCAGAACATGGATGAGGCATTCAGTCTATGTGAAATAGTTAGAATTATGCGTACACAGAGACAGTCTATGATACAGGCACCTGTAAGTAGTTTAAGTGATTTAATTTATAGAGCATGTGATTAGGGCATGTGATAAGGGATAGAATGGTCCCAGGTTCAAGTGCCTAAGGCTACGTTACCATGCTAAATATATTAAATGGACTTGTCCATGTTTTAGTCTGGACATAACCATTCATCATTTTAGGGACAGTTTTGAAATATGTACTGAATGATTATTAAACAGCAGTCTACCGCCTCTGTGGTAGAGGGGTTAAAGTCAATGACTTCTAATCCAGTTACCTCTCTGGCGTGGGTTCGATCCCCGGGAGATGCTTTGGTAGTTTAGCACGGAGGAAGGTAGTCTAGTACTGGTTTTACTCTCCAGGAACGATGGTTACGAAACTACCCGCCTATTTGACTGAAATACTGTTGGGAAAAGGCGTAAAATGAAACAAACAAACAAACAATTAGCAGTCTAATCATGGTCTGCACTCGATGCATGGATCGAATCTGTTGTCAAAAACATGCTTAAACTTAACTAATTCTTAGCTTGCAGGCAGCATGCTGCAACTTATTTTACCTATGCAAGATCAGCCAGTATGCCTGTACACTCTGATTATGGTCTGCACTGTTTGGTATTCAGTCACTACATATTTTGGAATTTCCCTTAAAAATGATCAGTGGTTTTAAAGAAAAAAGGACAAGTCCATTTAAGATATCATAGTGATCTCTGGGTGACATTGTCATTTTTAGCTCGACTATACGAAGTATATGGAGAGCTGTCCTACTCGCCCCGGCGTCGGCGTCGGCGTCCGCGTCCAGATTTTAGATTAAAGTTTTGGTGCAGTAAAATATTTTTCACAATAACTTTGTCATTTCTTAAGGTATCAACTTCAAACTTCAAATATATGTTCCTTATCATCAACCACATCTTATGTGACAAGGTTCATAACTCTAGCACCAATATTTTCAGATTTATCTCCCCTTGAACTTAGAATTTTCCTTAAAAAATACTATTTTTTACTGTAACTTCTTTATTTCTTAAGGGATCAACCTCATACTTCAAATATATGTACCTTATCATCATCCCCATCTTATGTGATAAGGTTCATAACTCTAGCACCAATATTTTCAGATTTATTTCCCCTTGAACTTAGAATTTTCCTCAAAAAGTACTATTTCTTACTGTTTCTTCTTTATTTCTTAAGGGATCAACCTCATACTTTAAATATATTTACGTTATCATCATCCCCATCTTATGTGATAAGGTTCATAACTCTAGCACCAATATTTTCAGATTTATCTCCCCTTGAACTTAGAATTTTCCTTAAAAAATACTATTTTTTACTGTAACTTCTTTATTTCTTAAGTGATAATTTCATACTTCAAATATATGTTCCTTATCATCAACCACATCTTATGTGATAAGGTTCATAACTCTAGCACCAATATTTTCAGATTTATTTCCTTGAACTTAGGAATTTTCTCAAAAAGTACTATTTCTTAAATTTTAACTCAAAAAAAAAATTTCTTCTTATTTCTATTTCTTATAACATGAAACTTGAATTCTAAATTATTGTGACAAAGAACATTTTGTAATGCAAGGAACATTTTTCTTAGAGAAATATTTTTAGGAGTAATGCCCCTTTTAACTGAAATATATTTATATTGGTTATTGATAATTGTTGCCCTTAGTTTATGGGAATTAGCATTAGTTTGATCGTGGAGGAAGCTTATAAAGAAACACTCTCAAATCTGTTCCTGGACCTAACCATTATAAGCAGTGAGACAAGCCTGGGCACTGCATGCGGTGCTTTTGTTTAGAAGCTTTAGAAGCTTGGCAAACATTGACTGTAGAAGGTTATGTTATTTGTTTACAGGAACAGTACATGATGGCCCATGTAACGATACAGACGTTATTCCAGAAACATCTTGACCTTATGGAGGATCACACATATGGGAACATCGGATTTGGAGATAATGTAAGCAAAATTATTTTAATATGAGCCACGTCACGACAAAACCAACATAGTGCGTTTGCGACCAACATGGATCCAGACCAGCCTGCACATCCACGCAGGCACAGTCTTATCAGGATCCATGCTGTTTGCTTACCAACTCTATTACAAGTAGAGAAACTGATAGCGTACAGCATGGATCCTGATCAGACTGCGCGGATGCGCAGGCTTGTCTGGATCTATGCTGGTCGCAAACGTACTATGTTGGTTTTGTCATGACGTGGCTCATATAATCATCCCCTGAGTGCAGTAACAGGTTAACTCTTTTTAAATTTTGATAGGAGTTAATTGGCTATTGCACTTAGGGCAATAAAACTGGTATGTTATGAGAAACATGGATGAGACCTGAATAGGGCTCGAGCCATCAATCCCTGGGTTGAGAGGCAGACACCTAAACCACTAGGCCACAAAGGACATGAATAATGTTTATAATATTAGTAGTTATTGTAGAAATAAAATTTTACCAATTATATATTATAAAATTTGTTATCACTTGTATTCTTCAAGATCCTGTAACACAATTTTTCCGTGGTTTTATTTCATAAATATGATGCTCAAATTAAGATTTGTCAAGATTGTAAGTTCCAATAAGCATTATTTATAAAAATATTACCCAAATTAACATTTCATGTTTATAAAAGGAGGTAATTATAAATTTATTTTCTATAAATTTTAAGTCAAATTTTCCAATGAGAAAAGACTGCATGTAATTTATTGATTAAATTTAATGTGCACAAATATTTGCAGTACACATTTTACATATTCTTCGATGTTTGAAAATTGTTTAATTTGCATAATTATATACATATATATTTTTTTGCAAGTGTGGTAGACACACAGTAACAATATCAATCACAATTTAAAAGAATGAAGCTAAAGAGGGTCAAAAGACCCAAAGCTATGCAATGAATGGAAATAAGCATTTGTTGATTATATATATTTATGTATGGTTATAACATTGTTACTATCTATTTTTTTATGTAGAGTGACGAGGATAGTGGAAAACTAGGTATGTATAGAAATAAGTAATATCTGAGGTTGTTGGATCAAGGTTTGTTATATTTTACATTAAGCATCCATGCATACGATGAAGGTTAAAAATTAATCTCGTAAAAGGAAAAATAAATCATTTTTCTGAGTTACTCGAACAATTAAAAGTGATTAAAGCAGGATTGCATGTATATCAGTCCCACACTTGTATGGTTATTGGTATATGACTTTTGATTGGTCTAAACATTATTATATGATAAATTTCATTATAGCTACATTTAGAAGAGAGCATAATTATAGCATATTGATTACCACTTCCAAGTCGGTTTCTTGGAACAAACCAGTAAAGGTGTCATACAAGGAAACGTGGTTGTGACACCAAGTAGAGCTCGAACCATTAATCCCAGGGTTAAGAGGTTGATACCTTTCTCACTAGGCCTTACCAAGCCGATGTAGTATAATGGGCTTGGCATGAATCGGATTTAAAGCTACCCATTGTTTGTTATTGAAATATAATTTATTTAAATTTTTAAATGTGTATCATTTTACATCACGGTGGGTTTGAGGGATTTCACTAACAAGATGATTAGATGGAGCAGCATCTAGTATATAGCCTGGCTGCATTGTGATGGTTAATATACCAAAGGCATACCAAGTCAGTATTGACACTAATGCTGGTCATACTTGTTTATGAACTTGACATAATGGATCAGCTGCTCATACTTGTTATTGAACTAAAAATATATTAACTGCCCATTATTGTTAATGAAATCAGCTGTTCAAAGTTGTTCATGAACTTAATGTGTTAACTGCTCATACTTCTTTAAGAAAGGAGCTGTTCTACTTGTTTATAAACTTAATGTATCCACTTTCCATACTTTTAATGACCATAATGTATCAACTGCTGATACATTTGTACTTGTTTATGAAATCAGCTGTTTATACTTGTTTATGAACTCAATGTAATAAATCAGTTGCACATAATTGCTCATGAACATGTTATAATGTAAAAGTCTCTCATATTTGTTAATAAACTTATTATATGTTAACTGTTCATGCTTGTTTTTGAACCTAATATAATGAATTACCTACCCCTACTTGTTTATGAACATAACTTTATGAATCAAATTTTCATACTTGTTTAAAAACTTAACCAAATGGTTTAGGGTCATATATTATTTTTGTGCCAATGAACTTTATGATATAAATTAGCTGCTCTTTCTGGTTTATGAACTTGTTATATTGTGTTTTGATTGTTATTATAACAGATGGCAGTGTATCTGAGGCTGGAAGTGATTTGAGTGGTTTGCACGACGGAACTCGTAAAAGATCTGTTATGGAGCAGGACATTGCCAATACCATTAAAAAGGTCACTCATGTTCAAACTGCTGATGAACTATTAAACCAAACAAATGCAACCGGATCAGTCCCTGTGGGACTACCGGAACCACTTAAGCCGACTTTGGCTGTCTATGTTGCAGAAGAAACTCCGGAACATGTTACGAGCCCAAAAATTAATGAACTTAAGAAAACATTCTCAAACGAGAATAAAACATATAAAGTCGAGAAAATAGAAATGCCAAATAAACCAGCAACTAAGATAGAAGAAAGATATTTAGAAAATTTACATAAAGTTGAAAAGTCAGAAAAGAAGATGTCTTTTGTTTCTAATGAAGCGCGACAAAAAGACATTGAATCAAAGAGAGCTCTGTATGACAAACCAAAAATATCAGAGAAACCCGCCTTAGAACCTCAGAAATCGATGGACAAAACAACGTCTGTGATAGCTTCTTCTGTTAAAGAACAGAACAACAATCAGCTTACCAATGATAGTAAAGTTAATAATGAAAGGCCATTGGTCCAAAGAGTTGAAAGCCAAATACAGACGGGCAATAAATATGTAACCGTTTTGTCGGTTGGCGGAGTTCAAGATAAAAAGCCTACGCTAAGTAAAACCACATCTGCTCCAGGCCCACCAATTAATACTCCCCCACAAAGTTTCACGCAACGATCAAAGACATTGTCTGTTAAAAAATCAAAGATAGTAGAGGAAAAGCCACAATCAAGTATTCCACCAGAATCTCCGGCAGCACAAACAGGAAGCATGTATTCTATGGCAGGAAATTCTCAGTTTTATTCTTCCCTCTCTAATTATAGTTCAGCTGTACCGGAAGGGACTAAAAACCATGTACCAAATAATAAATTGTCTGATTCGCCTGCCTACAGTTACGCAAAAGCCACCTACGACCCATACAGTGCTGTTGACGAAAACCCAGGTGACGTACATCTATCCAAACCTAAAGTGGAGGCTTCGACTATCCAAAATACGCAGGTATACTCCTACGCTACTGAACCAGTGAATCCAGCAAACAACATTTATGCAGGTATTGATAAACAAATGAAGCCAGTGGGTAATCGGAAATCACATGAAGTTGATGCAACATACGAGGCAGTTACCATTGGGTCCACATCCGACCAGGTACTGATTTACGTAGTACCCTTGCTAGTTTCAACCTTTTTATCATGCAACCAACCGCTTCCTTTTCTTCCATAGCACTGTGCCAGCTACTTTCCTCAAGCAGCCAGCATCATATAAACCTGTTAGCTATCTGTATTGCATAGCACTTTAAAATTTCCTTTGTAACATTATTATCCAATTAACTCTTAACTTGCTTGAAAAACTGTGTAGTTGATTTTCCTGCTTAGCTCAATAGGGAGAACATCAGAATAGTAATTCAGGAGTCTTTGGTTAGATCCACGAACAAGCTAAAATTTCTCTGTGACATTTGAGTATAATGGTCATTTTTCTTCCACCGCTGATTAAGAAATCATGTAGAGATTACAAATGAGCCGCGTCACGACAAAACCAACATAATGGATTTGCGACCAGCATGGATCCAGACCAGCCTTCGCAACAGCATGGATCCTGATCAAACTGGCGGATGCGAAGGCTGGTCTGGATCCATGCTGGTCGCAAACCCATTATGTTGATTTTGTCGTGACGTGGCTCAAATGTAGTAGCAGGTCATTTGCTGAGAAATAGGTAATTACTGGTTAGTTATCCAGGAAAGCTGGTTAGGTGGATTGGCTGCCTAGATATGAACAAAATATTGGTAAAACTTGCAGTAAAACTTAGAAAACCAAATAAATATAATGTATAATGAACTGCTTTGAATTTGGAACAGTCATTTAAATGGGATTTCGATATCAAAGAACAAAATTGAGGTTCAAACAGCATATAGCCTGGTCAGACATCACATAGAACAGGCTGGCCTGGCTTTATACTGGTGGCTTAGGCTAATTACCACTGATTCCAGCAGGTTAAGTGTTAAACATGCAACTTTCACATGACTGTGCAGTTTGCCATCTTAATTCAAGCCTTTGGTTTGTTAAGCCTTATGACTTTTAACCTCTTGAATGACGCCATCTGTATTTTAACTGTGCATCAAGTAGTTAATCATAGTTTAGTTACAAAATGATAATGATAGAATCTAAATCTACCATTCAGATGGTTTTCTGTATTGTTTTTGTAATATTAAATCCTTAACCTTTTCCCTTATATAAGCATGTTTTGACTTTTTGACTGCTTTTTGTCCCCCCCTTTTTTTGAGGCCTCAAACAGTGAAAAAATGCCCTATTTAGGCCCCAAACAGTGTTTTTCATTTGAGAAATGTTGTTAAAAAAGGTGACCTTTTTTTTAGGTGCGGTCCCCCATCTAAATGATACATCAGGGGGTTGCCAGAAGGGGGATGTGCCCCCTTCTGTTTGGGGGTTTGAAGGGGGGGGTAGTCCCCCTCTTCACCAAGAAAATTTTGGACATGTGACAGGCTAAACATTTCCTCAGGTCGATTTTATGGTGACGTGAAATCAATGCTGAAAAGCCTTTTACTCTATCTCATTGCATTGAGGAGTTGCAGCACTTTGAAATCAGTTTTGATGGAAAAAAACAATGCAAATAGTGATTTTTCACAATTTTGAGACGTCCCCCCGTTGCCAATTGGTAACATAAAATTTAAGATTGTGCATGTTGTTACAGAGGTTATGGTTCAGTTAAGATATGTGCTAAGTTTCATAAGTATTGAAGCATTTTTCATAGTTTTATAGCAGTTTGAACTTGTAACAGGTCAGGCTTTTCAATGAAAATGGCCATTTTTCACAATATGCTCATGGGGCAAAAGGTTAAATAGAATTAAAAAACTTCACAAATGTACTCTATAGTAGATTCTAGTTGTAGAAATGATAACATTCTTCCCATTCAAATGTGTTGTGTGTTATTTTGCTTAAATTAACTGTTAAATTGTAAAACTTTTGTTATAGTGAACCTTCCCTACTTTAATACTTTCACTTTTGACATAAATATTACTATAATGATAACTTATGTTGGTTTATACAGAATTTAGTTTGATTGTGTAGGAAGCTTTAAGCTTATAGACACACTTTCAAAATGGCAGTCATGATTGTTAAAGAATGGAAGTGGCATCTGTGGTCAACAATTCAAAATGGCAGCCATTAAAGAAGAATCAAAATGGCAGCCATTTTAATGTATATTTTATTTTAACATAAAATGTTGTTGCCTTATTTTAGGATAAAGTGAATGTGAAATTTTAATAAATATTCTCAGACATGCTTCTTTTCTGGCTATCAACTTGTGTGGAATTCTTTTAGTGCGCTTTTAATCTTCTAGATTTTCTTGTGACATTTATTATATTGTTTGCTGTGAATTCTTAAATGGTAAGTATGTAAATCAGTTGGTGTAACTCTCCAGGAACAATGGTTAGGAAACTACCTGCACATATGACTGAAATACTGTTGGGAAAAGGCGTAAAATGAAACAAAACAACAAACAAACAAAAGTAAAAATAGTGCATCTTTCAAACCTTAGACTGTGCTAGCGTCAAGTGATTCTACCCATGCAACTAATGCAGACTGGTGCATGTCTGTACCAACTGATCGTTCGCTATTCAGTCAGGACATACATGTATTTTTAAAAACTTCCATATAATTGATGAATGGTTTTGTCCAGATTGAAAAATGGACGATTTCATTTCATATATTTAGCATGGTAAGAGTAAAGGCACGTCAAGAGATAGCTTTATAATTATAGTGCCTGTAAAGACTGAAGGACCGTCATTTGAAGCATAGATCTCTTCAATCTCAATCATCAGCACTTCATTAATGTAATCACCAATTTTAGATTACTTTTTTCTTTCAATTAATGATTGAAAACCATAGATTATGTAGGGGTTTTCGGCAGGAGAATTTGAGTGTGAGGCCAGCTGTAGCGACAATAATGTCAGTGGCTCTTCTGTCAAGGTACCTGGCCTTGCCTCAAGTAAACTACAGGAAATGCACCTGGGGTCTTACTGTACAAGTTCTACTGGGAAATTGCCAGAATTATTACAATCACATTGTGTTGCTTGAAGCCCAAACTGAAGAAATAAAGTATGACAAATTAAGGTTATCTTAGTGCAATAAAGATGTTTCTTTTTCTTTCTTACATGAGAAATATTTATGCACAAAAAGCCAACTTAGTATTTATCACGTATGTTGCTTAACCCTACATTGCCTTGTTATTTTATTTAAAGTTCTGTGTTTAAATCACTCAATATTTGCAGAACTTTCCGTTCTGAATACTTTCTAAGGCTAGATACTGGATTTTCTCCATAATGTTTTGTAGAATGAAAAATTGATAACATAATTATTTGCATCTTATATTTAATGTATCTATGATGTTTATTTCCCGGAAATAAAAATTATAGATCAATTATTTTTAAAAAATAGTCAAGTATTACAAAGGTTTTTCTATTAACATGATACACATGTACAATATTTCAGCATCAAATTCTAAAGTTTAGGATATTCTATTGTTTACTCTGCAAATGATTATAGCTAGCCTAAGAGGTCAGGTATAGCACTTTTGACATTCAAATGTTCAACGTCAACTTCAACGTCAACGTTCTTGAAATAGACATTAAAATATTACTGTTTACATTAAAGTTGAAAAAAATCTAATTACTTAATTAAGAAGATTTATCAATTTATTGTTGACTTGAAAGTGACTGATAAATTGATAACCATTGAACAAAGAAAAAGTAAATCAGGCATTTTTGGGGCCTTCCGTCTGGTTTGGGGGTTGTCCGGTTTTGGTGGTCCCCAACCAGTAGTATTAGATTATAGATGCTTTACCAACTCTATATTAGAAATTTGAGTCTCAAAAATATGTCATATAAGCTGAAATGGACAGGACTGTAAAGTATTTTTGTGTGTATATTTATTTAAAGATGGATTCATATATAATTTGTATTTTTTTAATATCTATTTATAGATGGCGCCTGCTTTACCTAACAGAGGTTATCTAGAGGATGGAGAAAATCAGAATATTGACAAATCAGGTACGTACATCTATTAAATGAGCTGCGTCACGACAAAACCGACATAGTGGGTTTGCGACCAGCATGGATCCAGACCAGCCTGCGCATCCACGCAGTCTGATCAGGATCCATGCCATTTGCTATCAGTTTCTCTACTTGTAATAAAGTTGGTAAGTGAACAGCATGGATCCTGATCAGACTGCGCGGAAGCGCAGGCTGGTCTGGATTCATGCTGGTTGCAAGCCCACTATGGTTTTGTAGTGACACGGCTCAAATATTTTCCATTTACAAAGCATTTTCGTTTTCTTTGACTTAAATAAATTTGTTTTATTCCGGAAAATGTAATGTCTGACAGTCATATAACTTAAAAGATTTTAACAAGTTATTTTACCTAGCATAAACAGACATCAGTTTATATTACCCAAGCTGCTAGCCATTGAGGTTATATTAAACAAATAGCTGTTAATAAAATGACTATATAACCTGTTTAATACCATTATTAATTTCTAATACTGACCCATTGCTTTGTTTGATATAATTAGAAATAAGTTATAACTGAGATATAGCATAATGGGACAAGCAAGTAAAGACTAGTTAAGTGGACATTATTGTTGGCGTCCAATTAACAGCCCATTGATTGATAAGCATAGTGATTAAATCGTATCGAAATGCTGTTATTATAAATAATTACAATGTATAATTTTCATGACATTATGATAAGGACATATAAATACAAAAGGACTGTAAAAAAATCTTACACCATTTGGCCTATATTTTTCTTATGTAACACCCTTCAGTGATTTTTCTCACTTAATTGGGAAGAGGCCTTAGCCTCTTGATTTGGGGAAAAAATATTGCTTAAATTGCTGATTTGGGAAGTAAAAAAGCTGGTTTAAGTTCAGATTTTTGGGAAAACTGCATGATTTTAAAGAAAATTTCAATTGGGAAGAGGCCTTTTTTCGGAGTCTGTTATATAAATAGGAAAATCACTGCCCTTAACTATGAAAATAAAAGAACGTCCTTTGGCAACTATCAGTGTGACAAAATGGTGATGCAATTAATTTTGCCTGTCACTGACTTAAAAATAATGTGGCGCTTATCTCAAATGGCTTGTCCTGTTATATTTTGTCCCATAATTTAAATTGGCAGCAGCCTTTGTACATATGAGCCGCGTCACGACAAAACCAACATAATGGGTTTGAGACCAGCATGGATCCAGACCAGCCTGCACATCCGCACAGTCTGATCAGGATCCATGCTGTATGCTATCAGTTTCTCTACTTGTGCGAACAGCATGGGTCCTGATCAGACTGCACGGATGCGCAGGCTGGTCTGAATCCATGCTGGTCTGAATCCATGCTGGTCGCAAACCCATTGTGTTGGTTTTGTCATGACACAACTCATTTGAACATATATATATATGTATATAGATAATTTAAATATATACAGATAATATAAGTTAGATAATATAAATATATATAGATAATATAAATATCTTTATTATTTTTTCCAATAATTGACATAGCGTATGAATATATCTTACACTGTTTTATGTGAAAGGGAAAGGATTGAGTGTCTGTATTAAATCTAAAAAGCTGGTCTTACAGTATATAAGAGCATGCTTGCTTGGTTCTGTACTGGTGGTATGTGCAAGTCTGTTATTGCTGTAGGGTGTTAAAAGGTTAATCGTAGGATATGCCATATTACATATTGAGGGTTAATTGCAAAACTGTTGTAAGTCCTTCTTTATTTCATATAAGATAGTACTGCAGTTTAGCCGCAACCCTCGATATATTACATTTAAGCTATTCTAAGTGTTTATTACATCATTTCAAAAGTTTAAAGCCTCATTTTATGCCACAATTATGAACTGAAAGTTGCTGTGAATATTTGATTTTTAGCTCCACTTTTTTTGAAAAGCTATATTTTGCCCCCCGAAAATTAGCGTGACTAAACAGACCTATAAAGATTCAAAGAAGGAATACTTAACTTTTTTCTTTACAATTTGTTGAAACCATTTATTTGTTGAGCTTTATGCCCCCGCCTGATGGTGGCTCTTGTTTTTCATTACAGTAATTTGTATACATTTTAGAATGTATCAAGTTCTAGGTCGATATCTGTTTCTTACTTTAAAGAATTCATCTGACAAGTATATATTACATATTTTCAAACATTCTTTGAAATGACTGTGAACTTAGTTCAATGTTGCAAAAAGCACGCAATTTCAAACAGTTTTACTGAATATTAAGAAATAACTTTATTAGTTGATGTAATTCAGATGTAACAGATAAGGACCTATGCCCAGCCATATTAGTACATTAATATTCACGGCAAATTTTCTCTTCAAATTTAGGCATTTAATGTTTATAATTCCTAGAAATTGAAATAAAACCATGGCTTGTCCATACTGTAATCAGCTTCACTGAAAATGATTGATAATGTACATTGTAATGATTTGCAGTTCCGAAGGTTTTTCGGTCTGGCGGCCGAGCTATATTTTTAAAGTTTGAGAATTCCGTGGAAGTGAAAAGGTAAAAGGCTAAATATGAAAAAAAAATTCTTTAGTGTTTTGTGATTGACATATACATATATATATGTTTAACAGAAAGCCTTTTGTCACTTGCATTCAGAGTCTTTTAGCTTCTTTCAAAAGATTTTTTCTTTGTAGGCAGATATTTGCTTTCAATTTAATTACCCGTCATCATCCCTTTAGATGTTACATTTATTTTAATCAAGCTTTTTCTGTAGAATTCGCAATGTCGCCTACTCAAGTGTTAATGACCTCTTTGTAGTCAGTAAGCTTTTTTTCTTTATCACATACCCGTTCCACTTTAGCAACTCCGTAAAAATGGTATTGCACAGCTGTGCATATAAATTATGTTGATGCGAAGTCATTTGCGTTATAGAAACATAGTGTTAAGACGCCCTAAATGTTACCATGTTACTATAGTAGCGTCAATGTAAAATGATTTTTTTTTCACTATGACAGTCTTTATTTTGGGTATGTGATAAAAAGAGTATTTTATTCGTGAAGGCTCAATATTGAATTTATTGAACTTGTTGAATAAAGTGATATTATGCAAGCCTCTGGTGAGCATAATATAAATTCATTCAACTTGTTAATAGATTCAATTTTGAACCTTAACTCATTTAATATCCCCTATTTATTGCATCCCAAGTATATGACATACATTGTGTACCAATATATCATATATACATATATTGTGTACTGGTATGTGACATATATATTGTGTAAAAACTCTCTCTGAACAAAGTTGTTTACAACTTGGGTGTAAAAAAACTTTATATGGCAAATGTCAAATTTTGTGAATATACTGCATGATTAAGCAGTGATTAATTAAGTGGTAAAAATGTCTTACTATGATTAATTTGTCCCGTACTGCTGTGGGTTCGAACCCTGACTGCTGTCAGTTAATACTTTCAAGGTGAGAGAACTATCCAGGTAGTCATTGGAGGGCCAATTGTACTTCTTAAGTCAGGTACCGTGCTTGTGACTGATATAATATAGGGAAGTGAAAAATTATTTAAATATGAACTTTAGGAATTATGTGACTTAATATAATATCTTCATCCTCTCTTCACCGCAGAGATTCTATGAATGTAACATTGTACTAAAATTATCAAACTGTCCACATTCTAGAGGTCTCAAGTAAGTTACTCGTCTTTTCACAATATTGCACTTGAGGAGGTACTTAAGTAGTTTATTTAGGAAAGCTTCGCCAAAAGGGGCATCTCTCCAGATTTAAAGTATAATTCAAATGATAAAGTGGAATTGTTACATATTATCAATGTGTAATTGTGTAAAATTGTACAAATTTTTAGCACATGTAATGTAAGTTTGTTACAGTTTTTGCAATAAGTTATAATGTGTCTGTTGATCTGTTTGATTTTAAACGTTTAGGAGATAATTCTTTAAACTTTTCTCCACAACTCATTTTTGGTTCGCATTTGCCTTTTAATACTTGTGGCGATAAAAACTTGACTGTGACATCAGTTTAAAATGGTATTTTTTAATATGTTGAATTATCCGTCTGCTTCCGGTATGCAAAATAGCAAGAGCACCGGATTTGTAATCAAGGGGTCACTAGTCCTATCCTTGGATGAGGCCAAATTTCTCTTTGACAATTGATCTAGGACATTGAGTCTAATGGTCATTTGTCACTGCTAATTCAGAAATCTTGTAGGATTAGTACTTAAATTGTTCGCTTGTGAAGAAATTGAAAATTTAAGTGGTTAGTTATCTTGAGGAAAGTTAGCTGGACCGACTGCCGAGTTTTTTTTTGTTTTTTTTTTTCAATTTAGACAAGACCTTTCATCATGTTTAGGGAATATTTCAAAAAATATATTGACTGAATAGCCTACAGTGCAGACCATGATCTGGGACAGCACAAATGTGCCAGCTGATGTTAGTCTTGCATATCAGACAGGATTATCTATTATTTACACTGGTGCTCTTAATACACCCCAATGTAAGACCAGTGGCATGTTTTAAATGACGCCATTCCCAACCCCTTTTATGAATGAATTGCGTTCTTGGGATGACATCATTGTGCTGTTATGAATGAAGTTGTGAATTCATATACTGCTATAAGAAAATATGAAAATATTAGTTTTTGTAAAATATCATTAATTTGTAATATTTAGCAAGAAAAAGAATTAAACACCCGCTGTCGTCACAGACAGGAATATCTAACTCTCGGGTAACTGTTTAACAGAAACTCGGAAAAACCTTGTTACCGCTGTAAACTGAGCTACCCTCAAGCTAGATATTCCTGTCTGTACCGGCAGGCGGTGTAAGATTCTTAAAGTCTACACAGTGGTAGAATCTGTTGCTACCAGTATAATGCTAGGCATTAAAAAAAAAGTTTTTTTATACGATGGATAGAATTATTTTAAAAGACTAAGAATGCTGAAGTGATGATAAGGTTTTTATGTGTGATTTCATAGTTTGATGTGCTTGCACCAAATTAATGGGCCCCTAAATTTCTGAATATAAATGGTTTGGCTAGATAGTTTTTGTCAGAATAATTTGTGTATCTTTTTTTTTCAAAAATAACTTTTTTATATAAGTACTTGTACATTTATCATAACTATTTTAAAAAATATTTAAAAAAAAATAATTAAATGTATTGATAATGATACTTATATAGATCTATGACCTTATATTATGGATCTTCACTCCTTTGACTTCATAAAATGCATTTGACCGGCTTTAATAATTATTATATTTGATTTTTTTGGTTTAACTTTTAACCCATGCACCATAATGGACTTGTCCTTTACATTTAATATTTTTGAAATCTCTGGTTTATTAAGTTTCCGGAAATTCAAGTTTATAACCCTGAAACCAGGCAGACAAGTTGGACTCAGTCTGAGTCAGGTTTTAAAATTGCAATTTTTAGGATTTCAGTATTAAAATAATACTTTTCTACAAGCCATTAGTACAGAATCAAGCGCCTCTTGTGGCAGTGGGGTTGCCTTTTTAATGGTTGAGGCATCAGAATTGCAGCCACCATTTAACCCTGTGTGATGGTAATTAAGAGTCGACTAAATGTGTTCAAATTACTGATGTCTAGTCATCTCTTAGCTCCAGCAATCATTATGTGAGGTGGTTTTGACCTCTGGTGTTTTTTGTTTGTAACAATCAAGGTTTGCCAAAATAATATTTCCTGATTCAGCGCCATATGACCTAAACTGTGCTGTGTCAGTGCGCCATGAAACATAAAAAAACCACCAGAATCAAGCCAGTTTGCTCAGTAACATTTATTTTGGCATACCCTCTTCTCTCACTTTTGCCAGTTTTGGCGAAGGGCCACACTGTTTGCATAGGCATATTTTCCATCATCACTCATATTATGAAACAGGCTTTTCTTACATGCTATTAGTATAGTTTAGGTTTTTACTTAATTTTTTGTTTTTCTTTCACTGCCATGTGAACAAATTCCTGCATTTTGTTTTTTAAAGTGTAAAAAATATATACTCTGTTAGCTATTTTAATTGTATATACATATATTATTAACACAGCTTCTAATTATATTGTAATTAATACTTAATGTTCCAAATATAATGTTTTAATTTCTACATGTCTATAAAATACTATTTTGTAAAAATAAATCAACATTATAATTTAAAATGTTAATTTGATTGACCATAATTATATTGTAATCTTTAATAAATGCAGTTACTTAAATTGTGTAAAATTTACATTTTGTCAGCTTTCAATTGACTATATTCAACTTAAATTTTTATGAGATAAATCAATGCTATTAAGTTTGTTCTCCCAATCGAATAATTATTATACAAATAACATTTATGAAAGTAGGTCAAAGTTCAAGGTCATTTCTTGTAGCAAAAAAAAAATAAATGTATTGTTCTTGTTCATCACTTTACTTTATGGTATGGTATAGTAATTTGTTTTATGGTATGGTATAGTAATTTGTTTTATGGTTTGAATTAGTATTGACATTTCCAGAATGACATTTAGAGGCAATATCGTTTCTAGACTATAAGTTCAAGGTCATAAACTTGACCTACTTTTATTTGGTTATAGCCCATCAAAGGATTCTGTTTATTATTTTATGGCTTAATATACTTTATTTTTTTGTAATAGATAGGTCAAAATTGGTTAAGGTCACTTTGAAAGGTCACATTCTTAGTTTTATTGTAGCACTAAGGTTTATCAGAGGTTAACAGCGTAATTTTTTGTATGAAATAATGAAATAGCATAATTATCGTCACAAATAATTATTGGCACAAATATCAGATTTGGTATCAAACTTTTAAATATTGTACAGTGTATTTGACTTTCTTGATGAATAAAAACATTGCTATTAAAAGTATTGCATTACTAGTGTAAAAATTGCAGTGTTTATATTGAATATACATGTAATTTACATATATCTGGAGTTATGCCCCTTTATTGACTTTATTACAATGATAGTACTTTTTTTTCCCTTAAACTTTAATGAATGTTATAGAAATTTTCTCAAAATGGAATACAAAGTCTATAAATAATTTTATATGGTACAATGTACCATGGTATGTCAAATATAAATTCATGTTCATTTTGAAGATCTGTAATTCTTAATTGTTTGATTTTGATAGGAAAAAAACAATAACATATTTTGTGTCAAATTTCTGGTCAAATGCGTTTTTGTGTATCATTGCTAATATAATTTCTTAATGCTGTGTGAAAAGCTTAATGCTTTGTATTTGCTGTATCATTTAGTATATTCTCTATTATAAACAGCCTGCCACCAAAGAGAGATATTATGAAAGAGCATATTCAACTGTTTTGAGAAAAACTCTATTTCATGTTTGAAACAAAGACGTATGTGTGTGCATGTGTGATTCTTTTGAAAGGCTTTTATTATTTCGAAGTTTTTTATTTTTTGCTTTTCTGAAGGTTCTGGAGACACAAACATTTTGGGAAAAAAAGTTAATTTGATGACTCTTAAAAATCTGGTAAGAAATTTTGTAGCAAATATTAGTAGCTAATTTATTTATTTTAGTGATTTTTACTTTATATAATTATGCCTGCTACCAGTTTTCTGATCTATTTTACATTTTTGTTGACCTTTACAGCTAGTTGACCTCCTTAACCCTTAACCATCTATGTAACAGATTTACCATGCTTTGAACTTGGTACTATTGAAAATTTTAAGAGATTTCAATATCAAGATACTGGATTAAAATGACCAGCTTACAGTATAGAACCTCTGGTCAGACTGCACAAATTACATGCTGAGTCAGGCTCTATACTGATGACAAAAGCTAATACTATTAGGTTCTGAAGCAGGTTTAGGGTTATACAGCTAGGGTAACCTACTTTACAGCTAGTTAACTTACTTTACAGCTAGATGAGCTACATTTCTGCTAGTTGACCTACTTTACAGCTAGTTAACTTACTTTACAGCTAGTTGACCTACATTTCAGCTAGTTGACCTACTTTTACAGCTAGTTGACCGACATTTCAGCTAGTTGACCTACTTTACAGCTAGTTGACCTACATTTCAGCTAGTTGACCTACTTTACAGCTAGTTGACCTACTTTACAGCTTGTTGATCTACTTCATAGCTAGTTGACCTACTTTACAGCTATCTGACCTACTTTATTTGTTGTTCTTTAACTTCAGTTTTTGTAACACTCCCATTCTAAATTGTGACATTAGAATGTGAGCATTTCAAAAGGAAGTAGTTTGATAGAATAAATTGAGGAAACTAGACACAGGCATTTCTTTGTAGTTGCAGGGATTTTATAAGTAAAATGTTAGCATTGCTCAGGCTGGCCTGACCCTATTCTGATGACTCAGGTAGCTTGATTGTAGACAATTTTCTGTAATTGTCAGAATTCCAATCGCTAGTGATATCTTATTTAACTTTGTGAAATCTCATCCTATACAACTATGTAAAACCTTATTCAACTTTTTAAAACCTTATTCATCTATGTAAAACCTTATTCAAACATGTAAAAGGTTATTCAACAATAGAATCTTTTTCATACAATTATGTAAAAGCATCCTCATTCAATTATGAAAAAATCTCATTCAGCTATGTAAAACCAACCTCATTTATCTATGTAAAATTTCATTCAGCTATGCAAAAATCCCATTCAGCTATGTAAAACCAACCTCATTCATCTATGTAAAATTTCATTCAGCTATGTAAAAATCTCATTCAACTATGTGAAATCTCAAATAATTCGAATAAGTAAAATCCCATTCTCTTTCAACTAAGTAAAATCTCATCCAGTTATGTAATTTGTTAATGACATAAGCTCTATGAAAACTTGATCTTTTAATGTTAATTGGTAGCTTAAGTTTGTTATTTTCATTGCTAGCTTTCAAACACATGTAAGCATAAAATGTTTTATATAAATTGTGTACAAAGTTTCATTGCATTCCACTTTTTGATGTTTTGAATATTGATAGAAATGGGTTGTTTAGCAGTTCATTTAAACCCAAGTCATTTTAAACATTTAAACACTCAGGTGCCCCCTCAAGCCTGAAACTTGCCCGCTCATTAGTCTGAAACTTGCCATATGGTAGACTAGAGGTTCTACTCAAGTGCCCCCTCAAGCCTGAAACTTGCATGCTCATTAGTCTGAAAATTGCGATATGGTAGACTAGAGTTTCTATTCAGGTGCCCCCTCAAGCCTGAAACTTGCCCGCTCAAGTCTGAAACTTGCCATATGATAGAGTACAGGTTCTACTCAGGGGCCCCCTCAAGCCTGAAACTTGCCCACTCATTAGTCTGAAACTTGCCATATGGTAGACTAGAGGTTCTACTCAAACTGCCCCCTCAAGCCTGAAACTTGCCCACTCATTAGTCTGAAACTTGCCATATGGTAGACTAGAGGTTCTACTCAAATGCCCCCTCAAGCCTGAAACTTGCCCACTCATTAGTCTGAATTTTGCCATATGGTAGACTTAAGAGGTACTACTCAAGTGTCCCCCAAGCCCGAACTTGCCCACTCAAGTCTGAAACTTGCCATATGATAGACTAGAAGTTCTACTCGGGTGCCCCCAGGTGAAGCCTGATACTTGACCACTCAAGCCTGAAATTTTCCATATGGCATTTACAGTATTGATATAACTAAAATATAAAGAAAACATATATGATAACACATTACATAATGATATTATACATAGATGATACATGTATTAGACCAAATATTTATTATTAGTAATTCTAATTTCTTTCCATTTGCAGCTTACAGGAAAAGGTTTGAGTAAGTAAACACTGTAAAGTAGCTTGAATTGTTAATAATTTGTATGATGTTGTAAACAAGACTTAACAAAGTCTTTGTGTGTGTTATCTTGCTCATGTGTTAAAGTTTGGGATCATATAACAATTCATGCTATTCAAATAACATGCATTTCCTCCATTGGGCATTGTGATTTTGAGAGCCATTCCGGGCAGAATAAAATTATGCTTATTTAAGATAATGTAAAAATATCTCTCACATTGTCAACTTAGTGCAATAACAGGTTAACTCCTTGTAAATTATATGACTCCTATTAAATTATATATTAGGAGTTAGCCCATTACTGCACTAAGGTGATGACATACCTTTTATTTTCATTTAAGACTTTAGTAACCGTGCTAGAATAATATTTTTCTTCAGATATGTGAAATGATTTGACAAAAAGTCTAAATCATCTAATTATTTTGTTTATTTTCATATTTTGTCTATTATGTATATTTTTAATAATGACCATTAAAATGGCTGCCTCTTTTGTAAAGGGAGCTGTAAAAATCAGGAATCATCTAATAATTTAAAAGACCAATTTGTTAATAAGTTCACCAAAAAAAAAATCAAAAACCATTTTGATTTGAATGAAATTTAATTTCACATAAAACACGTATTTACAAAGCATGCAGTTCTTTGCATATTTCATATGTTTGGTTTTGCTATTTTAGATTCATCATCATCAGACAATATTGTTGCTAGTGACACTCCAGGTAATACTTTCAATTCTTTACCCCCTGAATTGCTTAAATGGACATGTCCTGCTTTCTTTTTTGGAACTGTTCATTATTAAATTAGGGATATCAAGATGAAATTTAAAAATCAGTTGGCCATCAGTTTAGTCAAACAGCATTGAAGTGTAGGTTCCAGTCTGGCTCTAAACTTATTTAACAGAGCACAGTTTAGCCACTGCAACGTTCCTTGGCAGGCTGTCGAGCAATTTACCAGTACTAGTTGCCTTCACTTTTACTGATTACTTCTGTATATGCAAGAGAAAAGGTACAGTGCAAATGACCGTAGAAAGGATTTCATGATTAATCAAAATAAAAGTGACCTGCACCATTCGGAGAATTGAACCTGGGTCGCCTGTCATAATTCAAAGTTCAACACTCTACCTATTGAGCTAACTGGACGGCTTGGCTCTAAACTGATGCATGGCATAATATTTTGAAATTATTCTTATCAATTATAATAAATTACAATAAAATAATAACAATATTCATGTCCGTTACATATCAGGGAAATTCTATATTACATGTCTTTCAAGAATCAACCATAATGTTACGGAAACAAAAATATGGAACCGCTTATTATCATTTAAATATTTCAGATGTTAAGATATAGTTTTGTATTCTTTAAATTGTTCCAATTTGCATTAGTAAAGTCTTATGCAAATAAATTATTGTAACATTAGATTATAAGAAAACTATTTGTGAAAATTAATACAGATGCTAGCTGGCTAATTATTAAACTGCAAAAGCACTGTTTGTTGTTGAGCGTAATAATTTTGAGCATAGTTTAATCAACAAAGTAACCACAAAAAATGGATATTTGAGCCGTGTCATGACAAAACCAACATAGTGGGTTTGCGACCAGCATGGATCCAGACCAACCTGCGCATCCACACAGTCTGATCAGGATCCATGCTGTTCGCTTTCAGTTTCTCTACTTGTAAAAGGGGTTGTAAGCGAACAGCATGGAACCTGATCAGACTGCGCGGATGCGCAGGCTGGTCTGGATCCATGCTGGTCGCAAACGCACTATGTTGGTTTTGTCATGACACAGCTCATTTGTTCAGAACATCAAACGCTCATGCCTTTGAAATAACTTATATTTGAAATTATGGAGTGTAAAAAGGGGTATATCTTATATATTGACAGTATATACAAGAAGAAAAGAAAAATGTTTGGTATTAGTGTATTTGTTTTATTTATTTAATTTTTCTTTTTAAAAAAATGAATTATGATAATTATGTAACTTAAAAAACATAGCATTTAAAAAGCAACATCAATTTTAAAATTTTGGTTTAATATTTGAAGCATAAGTATAAATTTTGTCAGTTAATCTTTTATAATGATATGAAAATTTGGTTGTACTTTCAGGTTTTAAGACCAAGCTTGGGAAGAAGCCAGGGGGACCAAAAGAGAAACCATCATCTTGGAAGAAGAAATGATATTTTGAATATATAGTTTAGAACATTGTCTTCAGTGAAAAAAAAAACAACTTTCGTGTGTTAACCAGTCTGTACATTCTAGCAGCTGATTGGTTGTTTCAAATCATATACATGTATTTGAAATGAGCCAATCATAGTGATGTAATTGTAGACTGGTCTACCATTGTAAACTGGTCTACTAATTATGCTTCTTTACTTTGGGACCAGAATGACTTGTATATTTATCAATTATAAAACTTTTACATATATATATATATTTATATAATAAAGAGTAGCCATTCTTTTCTTGGCAATTTTTGTATAAATTTATGACAGTTATTAAGTATTTACATATATTAAATATACATCTATTTTATGGCGATGGGTGCTTTTTCAAATTATTTGATATGCTATACATAACATTCCATTTTATAGCAAGTGTGTAAAATTAATAGTGAAAAAACTTGTGTTTTTTTGCCACATTTATTATTCTTGTTTCAATTCAACCATTTTTAGATAGTGTTGAATAATTAAATAGAAATAAAAAATAACTAGATGACTTAATTATATTTTAGGTTATTAAATTAAAAAAATGACAATGCCATATTTTAAAGGCACTTATTGTAACATTCTTAGTATATTTTAGTAATTAGTGATTTAGATTTATGTAGGTATTTGTATGTTGCCAGTACCTTTAAGTACTATGATGCTATAAGTTATTTATTATATAAGATGGCATTGTGACCATTGTCTTACTTTTGTCAGTGAGATATGAAAAATATCACTCACTGAACTGTGAAATATGGATTGTATCTCATTTGTAAGTGCTAATTGTCTGTATGTAACAGAATGTCTGATACTTCTCAGTGAGATATTTTTCATATCAGTTCTGATAAAATAAATATTCTCATATATATCTAACTGCATTTTGCAGTACTGTGCTCTTTGAATATAGCTGTGCCTTTTCAAATATTTTGAGACAGTTGGTAAAGTTTCAATATTATTTTTTTTATGTTTGAGTGTTTTTTTGTTTGTTTTTTTTTTCTTCAGAAAATTATGTACAAATTTCTTGTTACATGGTCATGTATTAAATTACATAATTATAATAAATACATGTAAATAAATATTTAGTTGTACTGTTATATTTTTGTTTGAAGATTTTTGGTGAAAATTTAGCTTTACTTTAAGTACATGTATAGAATGATTAGATGGGATAATAGAATCATCCCTGTTGAATGTAAATAAGCCGTGTCCTGACAAAACCAACATAGTGCGTTGATCAGACTGCCCGAACGCGCAGGCTGGTCTGGATCCATGCTGGTTGCAAACCCATTATGTTGGTTTTGTCGTGACGCGGCTCAAATGTATGTTGTTTTGTGAAGTAAACAAAGTTTATTTGTTTTGTTTTGTTAGATTTAAATTCACACAAACAATGTTAAAGGTCTTATGATGACCTTCCAAATACACTTAAAAGACAAATTATGCAAAGTTAAATTTATCTTAAGAAAGGACAAATGTGTTTTAATTAATATTTTGATTATAAATTTAAAGTATATTAGAGGCTCTTCAGCTAAAGTAAGTTGTGCTGCATGTGAAATAATTTGTAGTAAAGGAAGCTAAATGTAAACAAAGGGGCATTCTGATTGCTAATTCTAAATCACTATATCTGTAAGAAAAGAAGCAAAGGTTCATCTCTTGCAAATTAGTACTTTTTCTAAAATTTTGATAGGGCACCCAAAAGTAATGAGTGTTTGAAACATAATAATAATAGGATTTTGGGGGGGATCAATGGGCCTTTAAATCATTTTAAATACTTCTTATAAAAATGTGTACTTTGTAATACCCTTTTACCATTGGTAACACCAAAGATATTTAACGTTAACATTTAGGAAATGTCAGATATGCTAAAACTTTAAGAAAATTATAAATGAATTAACACAAAATTGTCGTCTGCTTTATGGAATGTGTTACATGTGTTTACAGAGATACGTGTATTTGAAGTGTTGTACTCATAAAAAATTGTATGATAATTTCTATGCATGATTTTGTAAAGTGTAAAGTTATGCTCTTGTTCATATTTACAGCATTAGATATTGATTTAGATTTAAGCATTTTAACACCAATCTACAGTTAAGTACTAATAAGTTAAGTACTAAAATATTTTTTTCTTTTATACTTTCTTTAAATCTTAATGTTAACAACAACAAAAAACTGTTCAAAAATATTTTAATGCTGCTGTTAATAAAGTTTTTGTGTAGTCACCCAATACGGACCAGCCTTTGTCATCAGTGTACAGCCATGCCAACCCACACATCCAAGCAGTCTGACCGGGTTTGATACAGTTGGCTTCTGGATGTCACGATCTTCCTGTTTTAATGTTGAATTCTGCTTGAGCCAGTGCTAGGGGGCGTGGACGGTGCTAGGGGGGCGTGGACAGTGTTGTAGACGGTAGTTTGCACTTGACAGTAGTGAGTACAGTCCATGAATAGGCTCAATCAAACCGAGTCTGCAACATTTTCTATTTTGCTTGTTTGGCTTTCTTTAGGGATTCTTATTTTCTCTATTTTAATGTGAAAACATGTGCCATTTACAGCAGTCCATTGATAATACATGTATTTATAAGTTTAAGAGGTGTTAATAAAATGATCCCAATTGCTATTCCAAGAAAGGTCTACATATTTGTTTGTATTTAAATGTTAATGTTTGGTTTTGTCTTTCTTGTTTTTTGTTACTAGTATTCTTTGAGCATGTATATTTTTGTATATATATGGTGAAAATAACTAAGTATGAAAATTAACAGCAAAAGATGAAAACCATGCATGTTTCTTGTTACAGTTTAGATATTTTACATGTGTATTCTTCGTTATTTTTATTTTTCAAGATGTTTATCTAGGGGGTCAATGTTTTTTTTTATTGAGTTTGTGCAAAGTACACACACATGAAAGACTGTACAGTAGAGATAATGTTCAATGAAGTTTTGTCACAAATAGAAAATATATATTTTTTTATACATTTATACTATGTTAATTGGTTCAATGATATAGCGTTCTTGACTCATAATCCATGTGATAATAAAATAAAATTGTATTTGAGACAGTTAAATAACTTTCGGTTTTTGTATTTTCTTTTGCCCCATTTTCATTAAAAATGTTACTGTCTAATCGGAGCACACATTTCGAACACCTTGCCGATCACCGTGAACACTGAACAAAACATGACTTACATTTCCAGGCAAATCCCCGGATGACTTTGGCCCAGGACAACGCCCTTTTCCATGCCGTCGGGCCGATATAAGTCATGTTGGCTCAGAACCATATCTGTGTCCTTCCTTGGCCAGCCAAACTTGTGCATTCAAATCCGATTGAAAACTTGTGGGACTTGCTCAAGCTCAAAGTCAAAGCCCGTCGGCAACCCTTTAATTTGCCTTTGTTCAACATGAGAATTCGGTGATTGATTGAGAGTTGCAGTGAGCTTCAAGCCTAAAATCAACCTAAAATTGTTTTCCCTCAATATGAATCAATTCGGTTCCCTAAAACAATGACACGGTTGTCATGAAAATACGTACTACAAATTCATTCCTGGACAAAACTTTTCACTAAAACCACTTAATTATCGCGGAATGATTTATTTCTATAAAATGATCATGAAATACCTGAAAAATCATTGGCAATTTTATGCTAGTGTTTACTACTTTACTGACTTGTGAAATTTGTTTTTCGATTTCAACTGATAAGAGACCGTTAACAAATTCCTTAAACATTGCAATGATTCGTGCAAGTAGAATATACAAAGACTAAAAGATGTAAATGTATTTTATAGGTATTTTAGGTATTAGTCTATCACAATTTAATTACTTTTATAAATTTCATTGGTGCAAACAAACCTGATTATTTTTTTTTCAATTTTTTCTTTCATTTCTTACATAGCCGGTAAAAAAGTATTAATCATGTGAAGTTTATGCTTTTGGACTTCTCTATCTAAATCATCTAGAAAATCGAAGGACAATGGCAGACATTTGAGCCGCGTAACGACAAATCCAACATAATGGGTTTGCGACCAGCATGGATCCAGACCAGCCTGCGCATTCGCGCAGTCTGATCAGGATCCATGCTGTTCGCTATCAGTTTCTCGACTTTTTATAGGGTTTGTAAGTGAACAGCATGGATCCTGATCAGACTGCGCGGATGCACAGGCTGGTCTGGATCCATGCTGGTCGCAAACCAATTATGTTGGTTTTGTCGTGACGCGGCTCATTTCAATGATTGGTCTAACCTGGCGGGCTGATGATTATATAAGATGATGCTTACATGTTAAAAATGATATTATCTATTTCTTATGGTGGCTGATTTGGAACGCTTTTGGGCGTCGTGTTGTCGTTAGCAGCGCCAAACGGCGATTTGTCGGACTTTCGTCTTGGCGTCCTGTCGCTAATGCCCCGGTCACATATTCACGGATAATGCCACGGAAGAGCCACGGTCCAATCGTTCACGGATTACTACGGAAATGTGAAATTCCGTAGTCCGCTACGGTTCCAGTACGGACACACAACGGTATGAGTACGGAGTCCGACGGATTTACCACCAAAAGCCCCCGGAGAGACACGGATTGTTACGGACCGACACGGTTTGATACGGAGCGACACGAATCAGGACGGACGTACTACGGATACATTACGGGCTGCTACGGTATAAGCACGGGTTAGTACGAATAGGTACGGTCTGATACGGAGAAGAACGTATTGATACGGAGAAGAACGAATTGCCACGGATCTATACGGACCTAATACATCCGTCCACAACCTCTTGCTTGCTCATTTTCAAAATTCCTCAAAAGAACAGAACACATAGAATACGAATTGCAGCGTTCAATGATTTTGGCGGAAAGGATTCAGCCCCCCGAGACACATCAGGTCCAATTAAAGTGAATTTCTTGAAGAACGCTGGATCCTCAACAAGTTCGGCCATGAGAGCCTTATACTCTTCGTAAAACACTTCGTTTTATGACATATTTACTCCATTTTCACGATCCAATATTTGTAACATATTTAACATTAAAAGTTATTCTATTTCTTATGAATTGTAGTACGATATTAATATCAATTTACTTCTATGCATGTCATCAAGCAGCTCGACCACTGTTTCCGCATTCTGAGCCATTTCAATATAAAGTTGCAGCCAGTTAATGGCAATTATCATTTATTAAATGTTCCTGCAAATATATATGTCTGTTTTTAACAAGAAGGTAGTATTTATACCCTTGAAAAAGTACATGATACTTAATTCATCCGTACTAAACAGTGGTGGGCCGTACCATTCCGTACCGTTTCGTGTTGCAACGCAATAAACCGTACAAGACCGTGCTAATCCTTGCCTCTCCGTAGTACAACGTATTACGATCGTGGCTTTCCGCGACAAAGTCGTAATTATCCGTATTAGAACCGTAGCCTATACGTAGAGTATCCGTACAAATACGTAGTTCTCCGTACCAAACCGTGGAAATCCTTGACAAGTTGTCGGACTACGAATCAGTACGGACTATTACGGTTTTCGTACGGACCAGTTCGTATCAGTACGGATTAATACGGACTAGTAGGGATACGCTACGGTTGATTTTTCCGTAGCAAATTTTTGTGCATGTTCAAAAATTGTCAAGGATCGCTACGGATATACAAGGACTACTACGATTGATCACGGTTACAATACGGAGAGCTACTGACCAGTACGGGTAGCCACGGACGATGCCGGAATTAATCCGTGGCTCTTCCGTGGGCGTATTCCGTGAATATGTGACCGGGGTATAACGATGCATGCCAAATGGCGCGTTCAAGTAAAAGGAGGGGCAAACTGATTCAAGGCGTTCGGCTTCTGCACAACAACGGTGGGCTGGTGTTTTGTACAAAAATTTAATAGATTTTATGCCCACATAAAATAATTTATGTCATTGTTCTGTCCCTATACTCATTACTGTACAGAATATTACGGGTCAGGTTTTTAGCCGTTACGGGGCAGGTTTTAGCCAAGTACGTCTTAGCCAATCGATATCAAGACTTAAATCATGTGATGTTAATTAACCAATGATTACATTAGATCTATCACAAAGAAATAATTTTGGCGAGGAATGATTCTC